TTAACTATGTATATATATTTGCTTTAGCAATTGCAAATAAGCTACATAGCAATTTTCATAGTATAGATTTCAAGTGGAGATATGTTGGATTTTGACTGGTTATTTGCATTTAGAATAAACTGGATTCAAAGTTCTAATAACAACTAAACGAGTTTGGTGCCGACACAAAAATAAATGAGTTATGTATTGTGATGTTTTCTAACACCACATACATAATGAAAAAAAAACTAATCACACTAAGAAAATTTTAAAAGTAGTTTAGAATTTTATTAAAAATAACAGCAAATAGGGGAACTAGCACAGTCCTACAAGAGACATAGGTATCTTTGTATATTGTTGAAGATTCCACGGATGGAGGCAGTGAGCTAAGGAATCTTGAAAGAGAATCCGAATCTTGAAAGTAGAATGGACGACCAGGATTTAGCATATCTCGAATTTAGGAATCTGTTTTTAAGGACAAACACATAACGACAAGAGGAAGTGCATCATTAGTGACGTGACATAAGCGGGAATAATCTAACTTATACAGTAATTAAAAAATAGTTTAGGCAGACTGCCTGAATATATAAGCATAATAAATGCCGTGGCCCCCATTACATATTACTTTGTTGTTCTCGAAGAATCTATTTGTTAAGTATTCACATAAGTTCTCTCAACGAAAAAGTTATAAACAACAAAAATCACTAATTAATCTCGAGTTTATTTATCAGCAAGTTAATATTCTTATTGATGTAAGTCCATATTAATAGTGTTGTCTTTTGGTTTCTGAGAAAACTTAGAAAATCGTTTGGAGTTATATTCGTTAGACTATATAGAGAGATGTATAAATGTACACCTTGTCTTCTTTCGATAATTTACAAAATAATTTTGTTTTATCTTAAGTGAGTGATAAGAAACACAACAGAGTTTGTTAAGCACTTAATGTCAAGTCACCATGTGTAGAGACTCAGGTTTATTAATACATTACTTAACTATCATTAAATAAATTTAATTGCAATATCATGATAGTTAACCTAGAACAATCTCAACAATTCTGTATGCCCTTTTATATCTTCTTTCTCTTTTTGCTGTTTTTAACGATTAGTTAGAGAGTTAAAGGCTGTTAAAAAACAAAAGGATTCGCACTTAGCAATTAAAAGAAACGAGTAGGCTTAGCACTTAGCTATAAAAAATAACTTATCTTTCAGTAACTAAATCTGAAGACGAAGTCTCAAGATGACTTTGTATGTTGATTTTTCGTGTTCTCCTATTTAATTAATGTATATTGGACAATAAATCCATTATGCCGACAAACGCTCCTATACTATGGGAGATCCACATCAATTTATTAAAAAAACTTATTACGTGGTCTAATATAATTACTAAAAAAAAGTGTAAACATCATGACATGGTTTAGGACCTTTATTAAAGATCAGTTTTTTCTTCTACAAATACAATGATATAAGCATTATTTAGGCTTTGTCCGAAAGAAAAAAAAGCATTATAAGTAGGCAACAAAATTAGAATAGAGTTTTGTTTCTAAGCTTACATAACAGCAAAATAACTGAAGATAATATATAATGGTACACCGTACACAGAATTGTAAATAACTATTGTGTGGTTCTATCATTTTACCTGTTTCAAATTCTCTACCATTGCCCAACTTTTATATATTTTTGAAACCTACCCTTGAATATTTATTGTTCGTAAAAAGAATAAAATTAAATAGAAAATAAAATTTCCATATAATATCTTTTTTTTGTGGCTTTATTTTTGTTGTTTTTGTCGCTTTATTTATAAAAAAAAAAATCGTGTTGTTTTTATAAGGAAAGTCGGCACGGGAAAGAGGAGAAAGTGACAGCTCTCTGTGATTGAGAGAATGAAGGAGAGAAATGGCGTCAGGTTACGCAAATTTATAATGTCTTCGGAATCCAACAGATGTTACACGTGTCACATTTCTCTTCCACCGCTGATTAAAGTTATCCTTTGTCATCCTTTTCATTATCTGTTTACATCATCTCTCAAACTTTTTTTTTGTTTAATTATTGTATAATCATACTGTTCCATGTAAATTGATATCCACCATAATATTGATTCTATAAAACTTACGTAACGTAAATTTTATTTTACTCCAAACTGGACCATGGTGAATCCATACAAACGAAATAACATAGTTAAAGCTACCTAACATCAAGCCTTCCGATCATTAATTATGAATTGTTCCACGATTACTCAACTACAATTATTTGGTTCTAATTTTTTATATTGTTAACCTTTTTATCAGTTTACTATTCTAATATTCATTTTTTTCCAACTACAGCTTTAAAAACCGCCACAACATAACAAAATTTGCAGGGAAAGTTTTATAAAAAAATTATTATAATATTAAAAAAATGTATGGAATCTCACATTACTTTAGCATTCTACAAATTTTTAAGGATTATGCAATTTTTTCATTTTTTTAAAAGTTTATATTAGCCGCAAAGCTTTTTTTTAATAAGATTTTGGCTCCGATTGGTGATATATAATTTTAAAATAGAGTTATGGATGATGTTATAATTTGATGTAAGTTGCAGTAAAGTTATGTGGTAAAAACAATAGATTTATGTGGTAAGTTTACTGTAGAAATCTGGATTAATATTTTTGTTAAAATAGATGACTCGTAACTTTTTTGATGTATAAGTTGCAGTGTATATTATTTAATATAAAATTAAATGATTGATAATAATAATAATAATGTTTATTATAAATTAAAATAATATAATCAATTAAAAAATTAATACTAACTTAAAAATCATCAAACTAAATAAATTATTTTGATAATTATAAGAAATAATAAATACTTAAAGTGAATTCCAAATCTGATTTGCAATCTGGTCTCGTATGTTATTCATATATTGGCCATCAATTTTTGCTTCTTCTTCATCGAGTATGTTAAGCTCTTTTTCCTGAAATCGTCGCCTATGATTGTCTTGACTACTAGTATCTTCTTCAAAATTTGCATCTGAAATTCTGTAAAGTCTTAAAAAATTGTGAAGAACCATAGTAGCATGCACAATTCTATTTTGTGTCTTGACGTCGTACCGAGGCAGATTGTCTAAGATTCTCTATTTCTTCTTCCAAACTCCAAATGTTCGTTCGATTACCGAACGAAGCGATGCATGCCATTTATTGAACAATTCTTTTTTATTCCTAAGAGGACCCTCATCAAATTCTGAAAAATGATACCTGATCTTTTCTCTACTGTTTTCTCTATATGGAGCTAAAAATCCTTCCATGTTTGCATATCCAGAATCAACAAAATAGTATTTACCCATAGGAGGTTTGGAGAATAGAGGATCTCCATCTATTGTATATCGTAACACTAAAGAATCATGTGTAGATCCAGATGCGCTTAGCCATGCATACGTGAAGACCATGTTTATATCACATATGCCCATTATGTTTAGGCTTGTTTGTCCATGCTTATCCCAATACCCAACAGCCTCAGAACCTCCAACTTTTACTCTGACATGCGTCTCGTCAAGTGTCCCAACAAATCCACTAAAAAAACCAATATTTTGAATCTCGTAACTTACGTGGATAATGCTGGAGTGACGTTTCTGTTGGAGTTTTTAAGTAATCACATGCAACTCTCCACTGCATTTAATACTGTGTGAAACTTTTGGTAGACAGTCTCTTGGGAACAACCAAACGAGTACCCAAGATAGCGTTGTGTAATATTTTGTCCACATATGACGAAAAACATCACCACCATCTCACCAACACTGATATGATCGGTACTCCGTAAGTGGTGACGCTGCTGCAGTATTGTGCATAGGTTCTGAAACGCTTTTGGATGCATCCTTAACACGCTCATGCAACGTACTGGACAATGCATCTGAGATTCGAGGTGTCGCCAACCGAGTCCCTGTTCAATCGCCATTGGTTGCTTGGAAAAATAACGTTGGTAATACTCTAGCAGAGGTTGTATAATCATATTTATGAACTCTTCGTCTTCTAGTTCGTACAACTCTAGCAACTCTTCTTCTGTAAGATTTTCTAAATCTCGAAAATACAATTTATTTAATCGTATGGCCTGTAAATATGAAAAACAATAGAAAAATTGATATTAAATACTGTAACTTGCAATGTCTAATATGTCTATTATCACTTGTAATAGTTACCTTACGACGAAAACTTCCGCCAATATCATCCTCAACACCACCATCATTAGACATCTTCATCAAAAGAAAAATAAAACAAATAATTAATAATATCATAACAAATTGTACACTAGTAACTTTAAAAATATATAAAAAATGAATCAAGATTTAAGAGTATCGATGTGAGTAGAAAGAAGAAAGAAAAACAGATTTTGAACTCTTCAGTGGTGTTTGTGTTTGTCAACAATTAACTAAAAATGTTAATATATATTAGTACTTATTTAAAAAAAAAATCAACAATTAAGATTATAGGAACAATTTTGTGTGAATAATTCAAATAGCAACAAATATCTTCAACTAACTTCAAAAAGACTTTCTCAACCCTATTTTATGAATCTTATTCTCTTTTTTTTTTCGACAACGGAGCCACCGTTAAAGTTTTTTTTTAAATAATGGAAAATCAAACTTGAGAAAAATATGATAACTCAATTTGTAAATCATCACTTTTTCTTTGTTTTAGCATTAACTTTTGACTTAGCAATTTAAAAAATAGATAACTCAAAATTTTACATCAGCCATTACTCATCATAACTCAAACTTAAAATCAAAAAACCAAATTTAACATTTAACTGATAACATTTTTGAGTTAAGCTCTTAACTCAAACTTAATCAATACTAACTCATGTCATTTATCAGAAAAAATAAGAAGAAGAAAATACTAAAACAATCACTAACTTTTGTCATTACGTCATCCGTGGTGGTGGGGTCGATTAACACGCATTCGTTTTTACGGCTCAGTGACTCACGCACACACGCCAAAAGCAGCGATTAAACAAACACCAATTAATTAACCGCGATTAGCGATTTCTAATCGCGATTAACCATTTTTTCACCTTCTTCACCTCTCTCTATTAGCAAAACAAAGAAGAAGCTCGAAGTCTCTCCTCCATTAATGGAACCGTCTCTCTCTCTCCCTCTGCTGATGTAGCTCCCACGAGCTTCAGAGTAAGCTTGAAGCGCAATTCCCGCTAACTGAAACGAAATCGGCTTTACTACAAGTATTTTTATACATTAAAGTTTCCTCTTTTATCGTTCCTCCTTGCCTTAAACTTTCTCTCTCAGAACACCACTCAAGCTTCGCCTCCTTTGAAACTCTTCTTCTCACTGCCTTATCGCTTCGTGCTTCAGGTTTCAGCTCTAAAACCCAGAATTTCATTCGCTGAGTGTTTTTTTCTATTGTGTTTCTGTTTTGTGGGGTTTGTTTACATAAGCAACTCGATGAGCTGGATAATTTTGAATTCCTCCTAAATGTGCTGTTGCTTTTGCGTTTTTCGCCCATACAGTACTTCAATTCTGAGATTAAAGAATGTATTTTTATTTCCTTTTCCTTGCGGTGAAGTTTGCCTTGTTTCGGAATTAGAGCATATAAATTTGGAACCATAAGTGAAATTTAATCTGGTGTTTGTGATTGCTTCATTGTGTAGGGTATACTCGTGAGTCAAACTGCTAGTGAGGATATAAGATCTTCCAGAAAAAAAACTCTGTCTTTTGTGTCTCAATCTAATCGTCAAAGCAATGGAAAGCCCTTCTGCATCCAGAGAGAAAGGATTCTCTTTTCCAGATATCCCAACAGAAGAAATGGATGGTTGGGTTAAGAACTTGATCTCTGAAGAAGACATGTTCAGCTCTTCGGAGCTTGTGAATTTTGAACCTTTTGCTTCTTGGTGCAATACCCCTTCCGCTACAGATATCTTGTTCACTCAATACGGCTTTTCCACCTCTCAGTCTACTACTACTAGTACGCCTTTTGGAGGCTTTACTGCGTTACATGTAGATCCCTCTCCTTCTTTCCAAGGTTTCGAAGGCTCTTACGCCGGCGAAAAGAGACCCATGCAGGAGACGAGCTCTCAGTTTTATTGCCTATCTGATACTGAGAGGATGAGCGGTAAACGAAGCAAGAATGGTAGTTTAACCGGCGGGATAGACTCTAGTGTTCCAAGGTCGTTGAGCCACTCGCTTGATGAGAAGATGCTCAAGGCATTGAGTTTGTTCATGGAGTTCTCTGGAGAGGGAGTCCTGGCTCAGTTTTGGACTCCTATTAAGACGGGAGATCAGTACATGCTCAGCACTTGTGATCAAGCGTACTTGCTTGACTCGAGGCTATCTGGATACCGTGAAGTGTCGAGGAAGTTCACCTTCTCTGCAGAAGCGAATCAATACTCTTCTCCAGGTCTTCCAGGGAGAGTCTTTATCTCTGGAGTGCCTGAGTGGACATCAAACGTGATGTATTACAAGACCGCTGAGTATCTACGGATGAAGCATGCAATAGATAACCAAGTTCGTGGTTCCATTGCAATTCCTGTCCTTGAAGCATCTGGAACATCTTGTTGTGCTGTCCTTGAACTTGTGACATGTAGGGAAAAATCCAATTTTGATTTGGAGATGGACTCTGTTTGCCGTGCTCTCCAGGTTAGTTTCGCCTTCTCCCTTGCTTCTCTTTGTGTATTGCTTGTTCTTGGGTATTGAAATGCTCCCCTGTTTCAGTTTCTCCCTTTTATCTACTCCTTTTCAGTGGTTAGTGTTCTTTATTAGCAGAGAACTTATCTAGCTACATTACTAGGAGGAAAATGAAATGATCATCTCTGATGTCATTATGTAACAATGATCGCAGCCTGATCCATGTTTTCTTTATATTTATCAGGCCGTGAACTTACAAACATCAACTACTCCTCGTTGTCAGGTACATCTCTGAACCAAGAAAAAAAAACTGGATTTTCTTTTGTTCTATGCCCAAATCTAATAGCGTCTTTATTTTTCAGTACCTTTCAAGTAATCAAAAAGAAGCTTTGGCCGAAATAGGAGACGTTCTTCGAGCAGTGTGCCATGCACATAGGTTGCCTTTAGCTCTAGCTTGGATTCCCTGTAATTACTCCAAGGGAGCGAACGATGAGTTGGTGAAGGTTTATGGAAAAAAATCAGAGGAAAGTTCTCTTCTTTGCATAGAAGAGACATCATGTTATGTCAATGATATGGAAATGGAAGGTTTTATGACGGCATGTGTGGAGCATTGCCTGAGAGAAGGGCAAGGAATAGTTGGCAAAGCAGTCCTATCAAACAGACCGTCTTTCTCATCCGACGTAAAGACATTTGATATCTGCGAGTACCCTCTTGTTCAGCATGCTCGAAAGTGTGGCCTTAATGCTGCAGTTGCTACCAAACTTAGGAGCACATTCACCGGCGACAATGATTACATACTTGAGTTTTTCTTGCCTGTAAATATGAAGGGAAGCTCAGAACAACAACTTTTGCTGGACAGTCTCTCGGGCACGATGCAGAGAATATGTCGGACCCTGAGAACTGTTTCAGATGAAGTTACTGAAGTTGGGTTTCGTAGTGGAGAAATAATGTCAATTCTCCCACAGGCTAATGTATCTGAAGGAAGCTTTCAGACAACATTGCTGGATACTGACGTCAACTCTACTAGAAGTATCTTCTCAAACACCTCCGATAAAACAAATGATATAGCAAGCTCTCAGGGAACTCTTCAACAGGTATATGATCAACATTTGATAATGGCATGTAGATATTTTGAATCAGGCTGCAAGGTATATGACTGAGTTGTTTCTGAAATGTTTCTTAGGAAATTACCACCGGAGCTAGAAGAGGAGAGAAGAGGAAAAGCAGTACAGAGAAGAATGTGAGCTTAAATGTTCTCCAACAATACTTCTCTGGGAGCTTGAAGGATGCTGCAAAGAGCCTTGGTGGTGAGAATTAGCGTTCATTGCTTGTTTCCATTGCAAACTGTTCAATGCTGACTTGTGGATGCTTATGTTGTTTCTTCAGTTTGTCCAACTACACTAAAACGGATATGCAGACAACACGGAATCATGAGGTGGCCATCTCGCAAGATTAACAAAGTGAATAGGTCACTGAGGAAAATACAGACGGTGCTGGACTCTGTTCAAGGTGTAGAAGGAGGACTGAAGTTTGACTCAGTGACAGGGGAATTCGTAGCAGTTGGCCCTTTGATACAAGAGTTTGATACTCAAAAGACTCTGTCCTCTCATCATGACGATGCATTTGTAAGAGACCAGGGTGATATGGATGAAGAAGCGTCATTAGAGCTTTTGAAAGTTAAGTCTCATGACGGTGGCGAGGTTAAGCTGGAGGAGGGTGTTGAAACAAACGAAGCAGGATCCTTGATGGAGCCATGGGATTGGATGAGCAAACAGCATGGGTTGAATTATAGTGATGATTTCGATATAAGAAAAAGGAGTGAAGAGGTAAACAAGGACAAAGAAGACCTTTGTGTGCGAAGGTGTTTGAGCTCTCTAGCACTCGCAGAGGATGTGCAAAACGCAAGAATCGAACGCGGTATTGGTAATGCTGAACCAAACCAATCAATCTCCAGCAGCATGTCTGATTCATCGAATGGTTCAGGTGCGGTTGTGGTTGGAAGTTCAACTACTTCCATGGAACAAGATTGGAACCAAACCAGAACTCATAACAATAGCGGCGAGAGCGGATCAGTATTGACTGTAAAAGCCACTTATAGAGACGACACTATACGTTTCAAGCTTGATCCATATGTTGGTGGTTGCTCTCTGCTCTACAAAGAAGTTGGTGAGCGTTTCAAGCTACAAGACGGTGCATTTCAGTTGAAATACTTGGATGATGAAGAGGAATGGGTGATGTTGGTCACAGATTCTGATCTCCATGAATGCTTAGAGATATTAAACGGTATGAGAAAACATACGGTGAAGTTTCTGGTCCGAGATTTACCTGCCGCCGCGATTGGAAGTTCCGCAGGCAGCAACGGGTACATCGGAACAGGTTCATAGCATCTTCCACTGCTATATATAAACACGTTATCTATGTTTGATCTGACATTAGTTGCTCATAGAAAGACAAAAAGATATGTGTAGTGGAGTTGAAGAATGTATGTATATAACCATAGAAAGACAACACAAAGATTACATTTTGGCTTCAAATAAGTTGTACAAGTAGAGATCTTGATTGAATAATATATTTGCTTGTCTATTATCACTCAATACGTCCACGGTAATATCGGGGTGGACCATCATATTTTGCCGTGTTTTTAATTGGGTTCTGAAATCTTAAAACAAAATTGTCTTTATTGGGCCTTTTGTTGGGAGTAAAATGGGGGGAAGTAGGGTTTATTGATATTTGATCGTAATAACGCAAGCAAACCAGAGAGATTTTCCATTACCTTAGGGTTTTATTTTGTTGGTGTTGCTGTACAAATAATCGTATTGATTTGTGATGTAATTGCTTTTATAGAAAAATTCGTCTATTAAAAAAAAACATGATGCAACTTCCGCAGGAATTGGAAGAAAAGATACTGTCTCTGATTCCAACAAAAACTCTGGCTCCACTCAGATTAGTTTGCAAACGATGGAACAGTGTGTTCAACGAAAGGAGGTTCTTCAACAACGATTTGGGTCCTGCCCGTCCACAGTTCATCTTGCTTTCCGAATCCAAGTTTTGTTCGGTGAAGGTTAATCTTGACGTCGGTCCATCGATAAAGGTACATAGCTTACCCTCAGATATTCCCGGTTATAAACTGTACATGCCCGTGACAGTCGAGTATTGCGACGGGTTATTGATTTATGTTACATGTTACGGGATTGGAATTTGCAACCCATGGTTGGGACAAATGCAATGGATTCAATCCAAAGTACGATTTTATAATATTTACAATGGGATGGGATACGACAACAGTAGATCCGACAAGCACTACAAGATCTTTGAGTCTGGTTCGTCGTATACCAATGGAATCTTGAAAGCTAATATCATCGAGATTGGATCCCATGCAGAAATAAATGAGGAGTTTGCTTACGACCACCCATACTAGAAACGCCAACGTGAGTTTTTCTTATTTTATTTGTTTTTCAACTATATAGTTTTCTTTTTTGGAGTACAGTTTGTAATCGATGAAGATGACTACATCGAAGCCGTCCAGGGGACCTACAGTGAGAGCCACATCACCTCCATCGCATTCCGGATGCACAAGAGAAAGAATACGGATCACTACGGACTCTTCAACGGGAGATCCTTCACGCTCGGAGGAGGAGGAGACTCCAAGATCATCGGGTTTTATGGCAGAAGTGCTCATGTTCACCTCTCACAAGTCACATGATGTGTGAGATGCGAAATGCGAGCCTCGTATTCACCTAAAACTGTTTGGTTTTATTATTGCATGTGGAATAAAGTGACATATGAATAATTGAATATGATGCTATTGACTTGTCTCTCCTCTACGTCTAAATCTAATGCATTATTCATCTTTTTGTTTTCCTTGAGTTTTATTTGATTTGATGATTTGCCTTTACCTTTTTAACTTTTATATTTCTTTTTAAAACTAAGGGGGGAGGTGTATTCAAAATAGAATTTAAAGTGATTTGTATTAAAATCACAAACCTTTTGTTATTTAAACATAATTTTTAAAAAGTTATTTAAAATTTGGTAATATTGAACTAGTGATTTGAAAATGTATTTTCAAATTCATTGTTATTGAAAATAATTTAAGTAGTGAGTTTTAAGAAACTTGGAGTGATTTTAAAATGTTTTGATAGAATTTCCTAGTTAAAAATATAAGAATCCAAATTTCATAATTTTAGGCCAGATTCCTTACCAACAGTTCCTTACCAATACCAAGAGTCCCCACCAAAATGCCTATAATATCTGCAAACACATCACTTTGAATAAGAAAAATCGTTGAAAAATATCAAAAAGGATTGACAAAATTCGATATACAGAAAAAGGGTTGGAAACAGAAAATACACAAAACCATGGGGACTTGAAATAATAAATAAAATTAAGACTTTGATGTAAATAAACAAAAGTACTGATGTAAATAAAAAAAGCTGAAGAAAAGAAAACTCTTCTCTAGCTTCCTCTCTCCGCCTCCATAAACAGCATTCTTCTCGCTACCACTCCTCTCTGTGTCGTAAGTACGCCTCTGAATCTTCTCTAAAGGGACTTCGGCTTCGTGATTTCCCCAGATGATCTATATAGTTCTTCTACTTAGTTCGGGTTTGTTCTCATCAAGAAATTAAGAGTATTTAGGGTTTAAATTCCTGTGTTTGCAGATGGCGAGCAGTATAATCTTGTTCGAGGATATCTTCGTGGTCGATAAGCTAGACCCTGATGGCAAAAAGTTCGATAAAGGTACATACTTTTGCTAACCTCAATCACGATTTCTAATCAGTCGATGTTACTTCATAGCTGTTTCGTCTCTGATATACAGTAGCTTCTTCTGTTTGGTTTTTGAGTTGTAGAGAAATTAAAATCGTAGTTACTGTAAAAAAAAAAACCTGAACTTTATAGATGTTTTTAGTCTCCCATCCCTTACGTACAATGATTGTGTCTCTGTGGCAACAGTTACGCGTGTTGAAGCTAGGAGCCACAATTTGGAGATGTTTATGCATTTAGATGTTAACACTGAGGTTTATCCGATGGCCGTTGGCGATAAGTTCACACTTGCGATGGCTCCCACGCTTAACCTCGATGGAACCCCTGATACCGGATATTTCACTCCGGTAATGAAGTCTATATTATGCTTTTGAATTCACTTTCTATGTTTTGTGTTCATACACATGTCTCACGAATGGTCTTTCTATGTTTTGTGGTTATACACATGTCTCATGAATGGTAACAGTAGAGTATTTGATTATTTGCGGAACCCTGTATTAGGATTTGGTTAAGGCATAACTGTTAGTGCGAATTCAGCTGTCTCTAGGAATTATAGGAGTGATTTGCGCAAGCTTCGTGTTTCTTGTATCTTGAAAAGCTTAACCTTTGACAACCAAGAATGTTGCCTTTTGTTAGTAGTCTGAAGATTAATCTTGTGTAGTTTCCATTTCGATTCATCACAGGGAGCAAAGAAAACGCTTGCAGATAAGTATGAATACATCATGCACGGAAAGCTTTACAAGATCACTGAGCGTGACGGCAAAACTCCAAAAGCGTAAGAATCCCATACATCCACAAAATCGAACTTTGTAAATCAATGTTCGCCAAAAGAGATCCAATTCAAACTTACAAATCTGATCGATCATGTTTTTTGGTTTCGTTCCTTTTGTTATGTGTTTCCAGAGAGCTATATGTTTCGTTCGGTGGCCTCCTGATGTTGCTTCAGGGAGATCCAGCTCACATTTCTCACTTTGAACTCGACCAGAGGCTCTTTCTACTCATGAGGAAGCTATAAGATGCCATTGTCTGATCATTATCCGGCGGTTTTCGCATTCAAGGAACAGAGAAGCTCTATAAAGGCGTTGTCTTAAACTTTGCTTTTTTTTTTTTATGTTATTTTCATGAAGCAGCTCTTGTACAAAAGCAAGTTCTTGAGTACCGCTATTAACATTCTCTTGCAAAACTAAGTACTTTAATTGAAATGTGTAAGCTATTGAAGATAAGCACTTGAACAACACAGACACGGGCGCAGTTTTGTTTCAATTGCCAACAACACTCTCTTTTAACAAATATGAACCCAATAAAACTCAAAATCGTTCAGTCAGGCTTCGATCAAGTCGAGCAGGAACGTAACTTTGTCACAAAGTGAACTTGTTGGAGTAGTTACTCGTGCTTGTATCCCGACGCCTTCCCACTTCTACCAACTATGAAAGGCTCAGGCGAAGTATTGTCGCTGTTTATCTCCAGGCCACGATAAGCACGGTTGAGGAAATACTCAGGTCCTGATTTTGCAGCGGTTTGCTTAGTGAGTGCGTTATGATCTTTGCCTCTCAACTGCAATGCTTTCTCTGCAGCTTGTACCAGCGCCATGGTCTCTCCTGCGTCTTCCTCGTCATTCTTAGCTTGATCTGCAGCAAGTAACTCTGTTTGTCAAACTCAAGAAATAAAAAAAATGGATTGAAAAATCGTTTCTACTAGCGTCTAGGATACCGTTTGCATCGTGATCTTCTACGTAACCACCCTGAAAGAAGGAGAACCGTGGCTCCTCCGATCCCCTATGTGCTTCTGATTCTGATTTTGAAGAGTTCATCACATCTTGGAAATGCATTAGGTATGCACCTGTCCATTCACTCCCTCTGCAAACAGAAACCACAAACGACAGTGATTAAGGAACTCCTGCACAAACGCTCTAAAGATTATCGCGTTACAATAGTTTCTCTCCTTACCTGCTAAAGGCAAGATTGGCTTCAAATGGAGTTATGACAGGGGCCATGAACTCTTTGCTATCTAAAAGAGCGGTTTGGGCGCATGAGATGTAAATGAAAACATCGCACTACGGAAAACAAGAAGACATTGCTTACTCATTTGACACATCTCGCTTTGATAGTTAAAAGTAATGTGACAAGCCACTATATATTGATTTACCTCAGGGAAGTTTGCGAGTTTGGCCGGGTTAGGCCGTCCCATGGCAAGAATGTACGATTTTTTTCCAGCCGCGGATATGAGTGCTTGCATATGATGAATCATGTGAAGGTAACCAGCTGCATTCAATGCAGACCAGAATAAACATCGATGAACTTATATCAATCTTGAAATCACATAGGCATAAATTCAGTTGACAAGAAACTTACCGACACCAAGAGTCCCCACCAAGATACCTATAATATTCGCGTCCTTAGCTTTCTCCACCAAGTAATACCTGCAAACACACCACTTTGAATAAGGAGTGGAGATGGGAAACAAGTGACAAAATTCGATGTATATGATGTCTTGCTTGAAACAAGTGACCATACCGTCGTTTAAGTATCCTTCTCTGTTGAGTGAATTCTGTCACCAAAGAATCTTCTTCAGCATCATATCTGACTAAGATCAACAAACAAAACACGCCGAGAATACAGTTAGAGCAGACAGTGAAAATGCTAGTAGAACAAGCTCAATTTACATGGATAAAGCCATGCATACCTATGTCACAACCATTGAAGGTCAGTACTACATTGGCAAAAGCTGAACTTTCAGTACCGATCCAGAAAAGTAAATAGTCCTCGATTTTGTTTCCTTCTGGTAAGTCCCATGTTAACCCTCCTAACTTATAGTTTCTAGATGAGGAGGATGTGTTATCATCAGAATCGCTTTCGCCAGATGGTAATGGATGCTCCATCGATTCTCTAGGATCTTTGGATGGACTAATAAACGAACACAAGACACTTGCTACAGAGAACTTCAATTGAGACTCAGCCTTTTTCGATAATAATCCTAATTCTTCTTGAATACACGGAATCACATGAGCGTATTCTAGTCCATAAAGAATCTGCAACCAATGCAAAGTAGATTATAAAACAACAGAACATGTTTATCACTTTTTTTCATCATAAACATAAACTAGCTTAGCATACCATAATAGGCTTATCGCTCTTAGACGCGTAATCTAGCAAATGCTTTACGCAGCTCGAGACTTTTATCGAAGCTTTCCCGAACACGAAGAATGCTGGAAGAACCGATGTCCTGCGGAAAAACATAAAGCTCACAATAAATGACATTATTTTTTCAACAAGGGAATTTACAAAAAAAATCAAGAACAGGGTTTATTTATGACTCACGGGCTTAGACATGTTTGCCCGTAATGAACAACACATTCAGAATCAATATGCAAAGCTCCAACTTCATCAACGCAGCAACTACCATAAGTTGTGTCCGCCATAACAAAGAACCTAACTTCTCTGTCATCTTCACTTCTTTCAGTGTTGGTCTCCCTAAGCAAACGCGTTTTGCTCTTAAGAGCACTCACGACTTTAGTCGAATCCTTTAACAACTCATCAGGGAACTATCACAGAAGCAAAAAAAACCTAAGCTTTATCATCCCCTATTCACTGAATTAACAATTTAGGCTAGGAATGAAAAAATAAGCTTTTGTTACCTGTACAGCAATTCTGGTGAAGCTTTTGCTGATTATGAACTCCGCCGTCCGATTAATCTCATACCTTGATTCAAATTCCATGTCCATAGGTTAAACCCAGAAAATTACAACCTTTCCGGCCGAGTAACTAAAACCGTACTCGACTTCGTTAAGCGAGGGAGAAACAAAAACACTCAGGCGAATGGCGGCTGAAGAAACAAACCAGACGAAGAATGATGATGGAAGGAACGGTGCCGTTTCGGTCGACCCTTATGCGAGTAGTTAAATCACCGGTTTATTTAACATTTATCCGGTTGACCAGATTATACCAGTTTATTTAAAATCACCGGTTTATCTAACATCAGTCTTCTGATGGTTAATCTCGTATTTATATCGGTTTATTATCCATCATCATCGATAAAACACATGATTGTAAGAAGGGTTAGTTAATTTTTTCGGTTCGGTTTAGAAGTAATTGGTTTTTACTCACAGAGGAAGCGAATAAAATTATGCCACGTACCGTTTAGGTTTATTGAATTGCATTTTACAGATTTTTCTTCTTGTTCTTCTTCTTCTTCTTCTTCTCTATCACTCTCTTGGTCGCCGCAAAAACCCCAAGCCTCACTTGGTAATCCCACCATTTCTCTATCTTCTCTATCATCTAACTATTTACGTTTGATTCTTTGTGCTGAATTGAAGTCAGTCTCGTCGCAAAGGTTCGAACTTTTAGATTACGGTAGATGATCGGCGCGTCGAACCTCCTGAGATTACTTAGTCCGTGGTATTGATGTGATATAGGCATCGAACCAGTAAATTGATTTTCTTTGTTTGTCTTTTAGAATCTATATTCGAATGCTTAGCTAATGAAAATCCAGATTTCTAGTTCTCTGATTGTAGCTACTAGAATTGCGTTAGTACATAGTTTTAAAATGAAACCGATGAGATTCAAGAGTTTGTGAGGAAAAAAATGCTCTATTATCAGATATTATCTTGCTTAAATAATTCTATTTTAGTCTGAATGTTATATTATTCATTAGCGCATAGGTTTTCGATCACGAGATGGCGTTAAGAGGAATATGGCAGCTCCAGAAGCTGGTAGTGAGCTACTGTAACTGGGGAGGTAGCAGCAGAGGCATACGGTACCAATTCTTTTGACTATTTGAAATTTGGACCATTGTCTCTCTTTGATGTTTCCAGTAATGAATCGTTACCATTTCGGAGTTAGGCACTGAGCATTTTCCTCTGATCATTCTGATGCAAATTTTTCTTGGGAATAGTAATAACTGCTGGATTGTTGATTGTGCAGAGCCTTTATGGAAACAGAATTGCCTGCACTAATCGAGAAAAATCCGCAGCTCGATGTGGTTACGGAGCTTTCACGGGGACAACATCCTTATCTGAAGGGGATATACAGTATGAAATCTTTTCTTCTTTTTCACCTCTGATCGTTTCAGGCAATGCAACCGCGTATAACGGCTCTTGATATTAGCGGTTTTACGTACGATTCGTAGGGAACAGAAACGAAAGGGTGGTGTGTGTGAAGAACATGGATCCTGAAGAAGTGCTTCTGAATGCAACGAGGCTGAGGAACTCGCTTGGAAGGAAAGTGGTGAAGCTGAGGACCAGACATGTGACCAAACACCCGAGTGTTCAAGGCACGTGGACAACCGCTGTCAAATTCTGACAACTTTCCTGCTAAATAGCTTGCGGGTTTTCCTTCTTCTAGCTGTTTAATCCATTCGAATGTTGCAAGTTTGTACTGTGACTTTTCAAAGCTTCAAACTTTAAAAGTTTTGCAGTTTATGCAATGTTGAATTGTGTCTTGTCATAGTGTATAATAAGTTTTCAGAAGGGTTTATGGTAAAATTCATTCCCTTTAATGTTTTCATTAAAACTTGCAAACTTGGAATTGTCTGATAAGACGTATTTATCATTAGAGAGAGAGAGAGAGAGTTGTAACTTGAAAGAGAAGCCAAACTTTTCATTTCTCTGTTGTTTGTCAGAGTACAAGAAATCAGACAAGCCCCTGTAAATTTATCCTAACAGTACGTACCACATATACATCATTTTAGCAAGTAAAACGACAAAAAACTGATGGTAAATTTACTTAGACATGGAGAATTGCACAAGCTTTTTTGATTTTGGTAAATTGTTTTTTTTTTTAGCCTATGTTCTCTGCTATTGGAGATAGCGAAGCAGAGTTGTTGTTTACATCGCCATGGCTGCTTGAGGACAAGTGAGACTTGAGATGCGACAATGCAACTTCGAGCATCACTTCCACTTCTTTCTTGTACTGCGTAAAGTATCAAAGACAAATGTATCAGAACAAACCAATTCTCGCGGTTTATTTATTCTTATTACTTATTCTGATGTTTCTTAAGCTGGTCGATATCGGAGTAAGGACACAAACTAACCTCATCAATTGCTCCTGCTTTAATCTTGGATTGCATCAAGCACCATTTCTTGAAATGTACACCTGTACATAAAGCCAATAGATCACTTCATACAATGTGCCATCGACTACACACACTTTGGGCTAAGTGGTTCCTTAATAATTTCGAGGATACCCGAATTACTTACCAACTCTAATATCTATAACAGATGAAGTCTCCTCTTTAGCTTCCAAGCGCCATCGACAATGGACCTGATACAAACAAGATTAAGAAGGTGAATGATTGATTGCAAACAGAATGATATTCGGAACCAGATTTTACTCATAGTTAAGGTACCTCAAAGTAAGAACCAAAAGGAACATCATGTGGCTGTTGCACAGTTTCAAAAACCTGAAAGAAGGGAAGATATGAGTATCATCAGGATCAGATGAAATATAACTTCCTCTTTTTTTCATTTGTTCTTAGGATCTAAACAACATTAGCAAATTATTATTTTACACGGCACTGAATCATTCTTACCAGCATTTTCTTATCTGGTGACAGAACAACGTGCTGCCATTCCGTCACAGCAGTGTCTGGTGGACACATGGGACTATTACAAATGGATCTGAACTTAATCTCTCTAACTTGACCGTCATATTCCTCAGCAGTATGCCAAGGCTCAATCTGAAATATCACAAATAGACAACAACAAAGTTCCAGAGAAGTTCAACCTACGTATGAATGCTAATGATCTAGATAGTAATACCAAACTTACATTAAGATTTTTATCCTTCCTTGCAGATCTGTACTCGTTGGTATACGTGGAATCATCAGCCAACAAGACGTTCAGGAACTGCTCAGGTGTGCTGGCAAAAACATCCTGCATACAAGACCATGATGCTTAGATTTCAGGACAATATCTTTGAAAAGCATCCTGCATATAAAACCATGATGCTTAGATTTCAGAACAAGAAAGAAAAAAAATGTTCACATTGTAAATGCCGACAAGGACTTCTTCCTTGATGAAAGCCTGAAACTTTACAGGTACAGCTGCAGTATCTTCAGGAGCTTTAACTTGTACTTTACCACCTCCTTTCACAGAGCTACTGTGAGCACGTAAGGCAGATTCTGCTCTCTCCTATAGAGAAAAAAGCCACCAAAAAAATGAAACATGTTATGATACCAACTATTGAATAGAGCATGTGGTGGAAGAAGAATGTATATAACGTCAAACTCTATTTAAAAAAGTGGAGAGAGACCTTCTTTTCAACTTCTAACATCGCATGATAATTATTAACTGCACGCTGCAATGCTTTTAGTGTATGGTTCCTGTTCCAAAACGATGCAAATTTATACCTCACTCTACCTGAAATAAAGAAGGAACCCCACAGAGGCATAAACATAAAAAAAATCACCATAACAAATGAAAATTTCAAAAGCTTTGGTCCTACAGGCAAAAGGCTAGGCCAGGAATGAAATGGGAAAAATGTTCTCGCTTGCTTGTGACGGTAAATCAAGGAACTAACAAAAGGTGTTTGCTGAAGATAAAGAAAAGCATGGAGGTGACATATCACAAAATACAATAATAAACATAATCGCTAACCATCAGGAGTCCCAAGAGGAGGAACACCATGTCCACCAGCGCCCATCCGTAGTATGATTGTTATTGCTGGGTTTATCAATGCATGTTGGCTTCTACGAATCTATAATAAATAAAATTATGCATGATTAGTCCGATTATCACTTCGGATCAACAGAAATCTCCTTTGGTCAAGAAACAAGAACTACCTCATCTATATCTCCCAGAGGTACAACTACCTGCAAAATGAGACGGGGAGTAAGTCTTTACTATTGATATATAGGACTCGGAATGTCGTTGTTTAACTTATAGAAGCACTAACCTTCATTTGCTTGGAGAAAACATTGGAGTGAAAACATATGTGCCACGCAGAAACATATATTCGGCCATGATACAAGAATGACCTCTCCAAGGCGCATGAATAGCTGTGCTCAACAACCTAAGGGAAATTGCAAACAGAGTCAGAGACATATAAAGGAGGCACATGATGATTTTTCACAACTCTGATATGAGAAAACTACAGTAATACAGTTTAGTACTAACCAACTTACCTCATCAGGGAGTAGATCAAATATTGTCTGCAGAGGCCCTGGCTTCTGATGTACAATTGTTGGGCCTTGCTGATCCAACGTGACCCTTCTTCTACAGGCTCCAGCATATCCAGTTATAGCCCTACCAATGAAAATCCATTTTGTGCAAAGTCTTAAACCACAAAGGCTACGTGTTATCACAAAAATTGAAAGTGGAACTGGCGGGTTACCTAGAAGCATTCACGGGTAGTTTGATCGCATTAATGTTAAGGCAAACCTGACAAACAAAACTGGATTAGCCTTCTAAAGAAACAAGAAAGAAGTAAGCGAGAAATATGCAAACGGAACATACCTGCCCCGATGGGCTATCTAATGAGTGCCACACTGGACCCGTCTGGCCTTCCCGTTCAACGTTAATCGTTACTGAGCCAAGGACCGTACTTTTCCAAATGATATCCCAATCATGAATTGTTACCTTGATCTGACATACCAACACATACGCTAAATCTTAGTAAACACGAAATAGATGGCCCACAGATGCATGTTTATTGAATCATCCAACTAAGTCCTAAGTTATAGAAGCAGTAAATGATGATAACCTTAGCAGGAAGCTCATCTGTGGGAAAATTGAACTCTTCACCCCACATTGGATTCCTAGAGCCAGGGACCATAGAACTATTACAAGCAAACAGAACCAAAAGTGTTAGCACTCAACAACCAAACCACCAATATGGATAGTGGCTGTTGGGAAGAAGCTACAGGACAGCGTAAAAGGGCAAGAAAGAAAATGACATCAAAAAAAGTTGCTCACATGCTACTTCTTTGCAAAGTTATTATTATAACATCTAAAAACAAATCGAAAAATATCAAACCTGAATCGCTTTTCTGATCCACAATTTACAATTGCATAAGGATCTGAGGTTCCATTTAAGTTAGCACCAATGAGGTTCTTAGCAGCCAGCAGTTCCACCTGAAAAAATGAAGGATCCACACACACATTGATGCAGTGTTAGTATCCCCACATTATATTCAAACTCTCCAGAGTAGCAGATGAATCAATAAGAACCAGTCTCACACACACTCACAACATACCTTGATTATATATGCAGCATTTGTTTGAGTGTCTCCTCTCAACTGTCCTATCTACAAAAATCAAGTGCACAACTGCAAGTCAAAAAAATTGGGAAATTAAATTACTCCATGAAGAAATCACACGAGAAATTTTGAAAATGCTCAATAACAAGGGGAAAACCAAATTCGTTAACCACCCACGAGATTTCTCCGGTTATGCCTACTGAATAAACGCCCAATTTATAAAAAAGCGAAGAAGAAATCAAACCTTGTCTTTGTCAAAGATGGCTTCACCGGATTCGGGATTCTGCATGAGGCGAGACCGATCAAATCCCACACCACCGGCTTCGTCATCTCCGCCTCCTCTGTAAGCGAATAACCAATAAGAAGCGATCAAGAACGCGGAAGCGGCCACCGCAACCTCAATCTCCCACGACGACGGTACCAGAAACTCCACCGCCGACTCAACCATCTCGATCATTGGAGTAAAATAAGGTTACCGAATTAAAGTGTGATCAAGAAGGTCTAGCGATTCATTCTCCGGCTGATCAAACGACAGAGAATCACCATTTCTGGAGAGTAAAGAGAAGGAGAAGAAGAAGAAGAAGTGAGTCAATAAAGAAGGAAAGAGAAGAAAGCAAAAAAAAAAGGATTTTTAGAAGAAGAAGAAACTGATAAATTAGTTGTAGAGACTGAATTCACGGAAATACCCTTGAAACTGTAGACAGTTACTGTTTGGGAACTCGTAAGACTGTGAGAGATATTGGAGGGTAGTTCTGGATATTTAAAGTTTCGAACGTAAATAGCAGTAACCGTAGAACCGTCGCATGAAGACTTTTAAACTGAAAAATCTGTCCGTGATTTAATTTTCTTCCTTCTTTTTTACTCTTTATTGAATGTTTCTTCGTTGAAGAAAAGGCCATAACATTATTATTATTAATGGTGCACACAAAAAAATATTTACTTGAACTAGAAGAACTTTCTCAATGCAATAATAAGTCCATTGTTATAGATGAACTTTGTCAAAAAAATATATACAGAAGCTTTACATAAGACAACAAAAGTTGAACATAATCAAATTAAACAAGATATAAACTAGCTAACTAATTGGGCTAAGTTTGGTTTAAACATGTGAATCTGATACGTTAAAAGATAATGAATCGAATTTTATCAGCGAAAATAAATGTCCAATCGGAATATTTTATCAGTCTTTTCTTTTAAATTTGATTTCAATCAAATTAGTCTAACTAAAATATGGTTACCAATTTAATGAAATGTCTCCGAATGGACTAAAAATACGGTCTAGACTCTAGATTAGTTTCTTGCGTTTTCTATTGATTCAATGTTGGTCTTACATAATTTGCTTAAAACACAGTAGTAGAATTGGATTAAATTATCAAACAAAAGAAAACAAGTAAATAAGTGTTACATATAGATAACTTAATTCAATAGAAAAAAACTATTTATAGAAACCTATTTCTTATTTCTATACATCTGATAACAACCTAAAAAAAAATTGAATACAGTAGATATGATTTTCGATAACCTAGTAAACCGGATAATGATCCAATAATGAAGAAATAAATCAGGTAATTGTTCGGTTCGGTCTTGAAACAAGTGGTATTAAAGGAAGAGAAAGCGAATGAAAGTAGGCCACGTGGAAAACGAAGAGACAGATAGAGAGGGAAGGACCCCGTTTAGGTTTTTTGATTGAGGGTATAAATAGATTCTGATCAGTAGACGTTTTTTTTAAGTGCCCTTTACACATTCCCTTTTCTCCATCTTCTTCTCTCTCACTCTCTTCTCGCCGCAATAGCCCCCCCATACCTCACTAGGTAATCTCTACAACTCCTCTGTCTTCTCTGTTGTACCTAAACTATACGTTTGATTCTTAATGAATATTACTCATTTTTCTTTGCTTAGTTTGGTTGCAAATGTTTTGACTTTTTTTTTGTCTTTCTTCCTGTTGCTTGCCATGTGAGCTCTAGGCTCTGTTATTGGTTATGGGCTAGCTTTTGTTTTCATTCTGTTAATGGTTTTGAGCTTCTTTGAGCATAATTGTGCTGAATTGAAGCCAGTCTCGTCACAAAAGGTTCGAGCTTTTTAGATTGCCATTGATATATGCAACTGCTAAATCGAACCAGTAAGGATCAGTAGACCGGACTTAGGCTGTGTTGTTTTATTTGTCTCTCCTGAGTTTTACATAAAACATCTTGCTTTTAACTATGAATAGAAGAAGCCTACACAGCTTTCTAGTAAGTTTATAGGGGAAGTTCTTTGATTGTAGCAAGTAGAATTGCGTTTGCGGTAGTAAGATATGATCTTATTTGATGAATTCTGTTTTCGATCTAAATGTTATACGCACGGTCTTTTCATCCGTAGGTAACTTCATCGAGGAGCATCATCAGGGTTTTTAACTTGTCGGGTCCAATGTGAGACAAAGAGTATGTGTAACCAGTTGTAATGACTGTGGCTGAACCACAGATGGAGCTCAATCAAGAAAGTGAACAATACAATGCGGAGAAGTTATCGCCAAAGAAAGAGCAGAGTCCTGGAGGAGGACGTGAAGAATGTGGTCTCACCAGTGCTAATACGAGTGATGAAACTTTGACTTCAGTTTCCGGTGGTGAGGAATTGGACGTTGATGTAGTTGAATCTGATGACAACAACATATCCGCCGCGGAGGAGGATCCAAACGCTACTGAATACTCAAGCTCGTTTTCCGACACTGCATCCTCAGATGCTGACATGTTGTTTAACGGACTGAACGAAGAAGCAGAGGTCGAGTCTCATTACTGGGATGAAACCGACTTAGGACCTGCTTATGATTCTTTTAGCAGCATTTTTCATTTTAGGTGTGTTTTTTTCTCCCTGAAATCCTTTTTTAAGTTCCTTTCTTCTCCACTGTTTCTTGATGTTTCTCTAATTGTCTGTCTCTTATGTGTGTGTTTCCAGGAAGAAAAGGCTAACAAATCACTGGAAGAGCTTTATCCGGCCACTGATGTGGCGATCCAAGTGGGTTGAGTTACGAATTAGGGAGTTAGAGTCTCGGGCATTAGAATATCCGAAGGAGCTTGAAACATATGATCAAGAAAAGCTTGGAGCTAATATTGATCCATCTGTGCTGGAAACTTGTGGCGAAGGGATAAAGTCGTTGCCTTTCTCCAATCCGTCTTACAGGAAAAGAGCAGCAAAGAGGAGAAGAAAGCGTAAGAAGGTTGAGAGCACAGATGATATAACTTCGTATATGTCCCATCATAACCTCTTTTCTTATATTGGTAAGCGACTAATGACACAATACTGTTAACTCATTATCTCTGTCTTGCTTTGAGCATATCCTTCATATGATGTTTCTTCTTTTTCCTTATTTGCAGAGACAAAGAGGTTGAGCTCAGATGGAATGGCAATGGCTGATGATTTTGGTGGTATCTTCACTAAAACTGCGATAATTCCTCATTTTTTTTGTTCAGACAGTCAGTGTTTTGGTGTATTGATTGGTCTTTCTTGGACAGCTGCGAAAGATCCACGGATTGATTCAAACAACCGAGTAGATTTAGATGACGATGACTCACTTTTCGATCACCGAGAAGGAGATAGTGTCTTAGAAGAGGTCCTCTGGAAAATCGAGCTGGTGCATTCGCAGGTTCATAGATTGAAAACCCAAGTTGATGTTGTGATGTCTAAGAACGCAGCAAGATTCTCTTCCTCAGAGAATCTGAGCCTTCTTGCTGCTAGTTCTGCGCCTAGCCCGACGGTTTCCGCCGGAGGAGGAGATGTGATCTCCATGGGAGCTATTTACAACGCTTCTCAGCACATGGCAGACTATGTTCTCGGAGACTTAGTTTTCGCATCGGAAGGAGTGATTTCGAGCTACGGGGATGCGTTTCATATTCCTGACATCATCGAAAGTACTGTTGGTCTTTTCGCCGATGCAGATGTCACATTACATCATCCTCAAATTGGAGATTCTTGTGAAGATGTAAGTTTGTTTTATTTTGGTTTGGTTTTGTTATGTTTAAGACGTCTTCTTTCATCCTGTCTGATAACAACTACTTGCAGATTTTGGATAATATCTTGATTCGAAATGGCGTGGCTGAAGAGATGAATGCTGATTTGATGGAAACTAGTTGCCATGAAGAAGCTGGGAAAGCAGAGGAAGGTGAAGGAACAAGCATGGCACCATTGCAACAAACAGAACAAGATCACCAAGAAGATAAATCTTTGGTACTACTAAGCCGTGAAGATTCGGTTCTGAGATCATGTTTAGCTTCTGAGATGCTTGTTGTTCCTAGGAACAAAAGGACAAGAGGTGGAGAACGTAAAGCGAGTTCCTGGTGCAAGAAACATCTCAGCGATCCTGAAAGCCAGTGATTGATGAAGAAAACTCCGTAAGCTTTTAATGAACAGAGTCTTTCCTCGAAATCAATTACACAGGAAGGTCTCTGGTAATGCATCACAGTGGTTATGCTTGGTTACTTTCAGCAGCAAGTGTCCGAGGAAATGCATCTTTGAATTTTCCCCTAAATGACGATAACTCTTTCTGCTTCAGTTCCTTGTTTCTGAAGGTTTCTTTAGTCTTTTCTTTTTCCTTCTCCTGCAGGTTATGTTTTACAGAACATGTAGCTTTTTTTCCTATCATTTTCTTCTTTAGTTCCTTGTTCTGTTTTGTGATGTTGATGAAAAGTTAGAGAGAAGACACAAACTGTGTATAATAAAGGTTTTAGATTGTAGTTCTGTTACAATTTATGAAAACTCAGTTCTTTACTGAAAAAAATAACCGAACAAAGCAATGAAGAATCAACCAACAAAGAAAAACATTAACCAGAAAAAAGGGAAAAGCTAAAAGATTCATTTCCTCTTACGTTTTTATTATATAATAAAATAGAGAAATTTGTATTTTGGATACTCTTATTTCTGTATTTACTCATTTAAGGAAGATTATTGAAGGAGTTGAATAGATATGTGATAAAAAAAAAAGTATATTCTGAAATTCTATTTCCCATGATCTTTGAGAAACGATACTTTTTATTATATTTATATATTAATATATTTTTACACATTAATTCTATTTTGATGAAATTACTATTTGTCAAATTTTATTTATTCGTTCGCTGTATACTGATTCGTCACGAGTTTCATGATGAATTTCAGAAGAAGAAAAAATGGCGCTTATTTATTATGAGATGAGAAGAGAGAAAGTACGAAAGTGGTGGATTCTTAGTGTAGCCTTGGTGGCCTATCATGTGCCCTTGGTGGGTGATAATCAAAAAGTCCCTACTTCAAGTGGAAATTAATCTGATCTGCTCATCCCAAAAAATTAAAGATTAAAAAAATATAGAAAAAGCTTTGAATTTCAGCTTTAGCTGTTTGTTTAAATAATTGATGGGCATTATAAAATCAAAATTAATTTACAAAACCAACATGACCAATCATAATGTTGTAGCAGCTTTTTGGAGGTTCTTGATATAACACCACCCACCATATATCAAATTGAAGAACCATGATTGATTATACTATCTATTTGTCAATTATTTCTGATTTCTTTGATCTCTCTATAAGTGTCCTCTCCTTTTTTTTTTTTTTTTATGAATTCAGTCGCTTATCAAAGTTTTTGCTATGCAATGCGATATTGGTTATTTTGTTTTTCTTTTTCAATTAATACAACTTTTTCATCAACTTTATTATTTTAAATATTGATAACTAGTGAATTGGTGAACCATCTCTTATATACAATTGATTTTCCGATCTGTATTCAGAGAATCTAACAACATCGAACCAAAGAGTACGCTCTCTTGTTTATTTGGATTTTAATGTTAGCTTTCTCACTTTATTATGTGTTAGTGAACAATTTTGAAAATATATTTCATTTGGCCATTTATACTTTTTGTAAAGAAAATATTGCTGTTAATTAATTATCGCCTTCAGATTTGACTGAGCAACATACTCATTAGGGGAAATAGACTGTAATTTCTTGAATAAATATTGACATTTGAAGGAGTAAAATGCCAATATTATATTGTTTGTAATTACACCTTCTTGTTTGAACTTTCACGCAAGAAGGTGTTTGATGAATCTTCACAAATTTTTTGTTGATAGACGTGTAGATACTGTTAAAACATCATAATACCATAAAGAAAATGGTTTCATTATGTGCAAATATGTGAAAGCTAATCAATGCTCTAACTAGGATGCATGCCCATATTAATCATCATAAAGAAGTTGGTCCTATGAGGTTAACATGATTAATCCAGCACTTAATCCCTTTCTTAATTATACGCATATTTCTATGTGGTCATTTAATATTAGTAATCTATATTGTATGAGGATGAGCTTGAGTAAAGATTATGAAGAACTCAATATTACACGGGGAATATGCTTGGATTGTCAAATGACAAACTTAAAATAAGAATTGGTCGATAATTCTATAACATAGAGTCGTTTATGTAAGCTTCACAATTTTTTAAACCCCATATAATCTTTGCATGAGTTTCACAATTTTAATCTAATGACTAAACAAAACCATTAGACGACAACACTTTGGTTTAGACTAATGAACATATATAATTAACATGTAAAATATGAATCAAAGCTCGCAAGACAACTCCTTAAAGGAATCCATTGAAAGTGGATCATGAGGACTATGGTAATTGTATTAAAAGCAACAATTTCATTCTCTTTCTCTTTACGATTTTTGAATCTCTTATCTTTCTCTCTCTCTTTCCTCAACTACAAGACTCATATGACCGTAAAAGCAAGAGAGAGAAGAGAAAACAGCCACTATTAAAGAATGAAATAAAGAGGAAAAAAGCTAGTCAATTGTTTAACTTACACACACTATCTCTCTCTCCTCTCTCAAATTCTCTAAAATTGGCATTGGGCAGATGAAAAACATCGCCATCTTCTTCTATATCTGTTGACTATTTCTCTCTCAGTCATTCACTCACTCACTCACTCACTCTTCATCTTCTTCTGTTTCATGCAAGATTCAAAGACCTCACCTGCAAGGTATGCATATTAATTTACTCCTTTAGTCACTGCTTACTCAATTTTTAATTATTTTTTTGTTTTGTTTTTCGTAATACAAGTTTCAAAATCAACCAGGGCAAACACTCACATAATTAAGTAATTGTGTTGTGTTTTCTTTTATAAGAAAATGTAAGATACCAGATTACATTCATTCTTGCAATGCATAACTAGTCTAGGAGGTAGCAAACTCACATGGCTTTATTCATTATTGAATCATAGCCAATCCATGTTTTTCCCAAGTTTTGATTCCAAACCTTATATAATTAAGACTACAAAATAACTATTTTGAAGACATAAAGATTATGTTCTTGGTTTATTATTTGATGAATCCCAAAGGCATGTTTGATTCTTTGTTATCAAGCAAGAGTGATAATACCTTGTCACCTATTGGGCCAATATTGGGCCACTATCTATTGTTTGTTCTTATATTCCCTCTCTTTTTGATACTCCAGTCCAGACTACAAAGATACGTATCAAAGACAAAAAAGACATGTTCTATTTTCTTTACTACAATAAGTCAATAATCATGCTTTGTTTTATAACTTTACTCAGTAATTTTCCAAATATTTTGTTGTTGTCTCATAACACAACTGTCTAAACATATGAAAACTAGTTACAACGCTTAATTTGTTTCCTTGTTGAAGTCAAACGAGTTTCCTTTTCCCTTTTTTCCTTTTCTTTCACAAATCTAATTACCCCTTTTTAAGGAGTCCATTTACATTAGTCTTTTTCTACGCGCTGTGTGATTTTCAAAACAGAAAAAAAGTTCTAAATAATTTAGGGTTAATTTAATAATAGTTACGAAAAGAAGAATGTGTGAGTGTGACGTAAAGGTGATTGCAAACAGAAAACCTTGGTACCAGAGAGCAATGGCGGTGGCGAGAATGGCGACGAATTGGAGAACAGTAGTCCCTAAACATCCGCCGGAAATTCGTCCGTCGCGAAACCCTAGCGTCAACAAATCGAATCATCACCAGCAGCTGAGAAAATGCACGTCTCTCAAGGTAGCCGCGAACTCCTTCACTAGGGTTTGTCTCTGCGCTCCGATCGGTCCATACGACGACGTATTCCGGCATTACGTCCCGCCGAGAAGAAGCTCAAGCTATCCTCCGTCGAAGCCTCTTCCGGTGGTGACGGAGACGGCGAGGATGAGCATTGATACAGGGAGGAGGATTTTTAGAGGGAAATCGTTGACGGAGAACGCGTTGATGAGGAGATTCGTGGTGGCGGAAGAAGAAGCAATGATGGAGAGTAGAAGGAGAGATCAGATGGAGATTGTGAGGAAGAGAAATCAGATGAGGAGGAAGAAGAAGCTTGGTCCTAGTCCTCTTAGTCGCATGGTTATCGCTGAAGATGATGAACAAGTTTTTCATCAATGAAACTTTTATCTCAACAAGTGCAAGATTTTGCCTTTTTTTTGTAATTGTGTTTGGTTTTTTAACACAGAGATAATTGAATTAAAATAGTTTATTAGTAATTAATTGTCTATTTGGTGCGCTTTAGTTTAACTAGTTCTGCACTTTTGCTAAAGCAAAATCGGTTCTTAAAAAAACAAATCCATTAATTATTGATTATATAATGGATGCTTAAGATTGAAGACTGGTTGGTTCTGCAATCGTTCTCTTGATCATAAATATAATAAGATTAGAAAAACAAATGAAGTCAATTGTATATCTAAAAAGATGTCAATGTAATTTCCCTTCGTGCATGCATGCTTTCGTATATATAGAAGTATGGGGTTTTGTATATATTTTCCCCCCTCGTAGTACAAGAAAACATAATAAATATATCATGTTACACGTTTAGCTTAGCTTGAAAGGCACTCAAATAAGCTTGGGTCTCTGAAATTTCTGACATCATATGATTTAGACTCAGCATTAATTTCCTCATGTTTTCTGTTTATAAACATTTGAAAATCTTAGGTAAACATTGGACAAACCAAAATCTAGTATGGATTTCTTCAAAAAAAAAAAAAATTCTTAATATCATGATTTCTTGAGAGTGGGAAGCTGTTGTAAATCCTCGGCCCAACTAACTTCAACTAATTAAGTAATGTAAATGACTTAAGGCAAAGATCGTTAAATAAAAATCTTAATTAACATCGATCATATGATTCTCATAATTGTAAAATGTATATTAGCAAAAATATGAGAGTATTTGTATAGTTGATAAGAAAAAAAAGACATGCGCACGCGACCAAAGTGTGTCAGCCTATGAAGAAGAAGGAATGTTGGGAAGGAGTCTTGTCTTGTCACTTCAGGTTAATTGCAAGTTTTTTTTTTTCTTCCAATATGCTTCTTGCTTGAATTGTATTCCAAGCTCATATCATATCATTATTATTCTTACTCACTTTCTAATATCGAACCGTCGATTTCGATTATTGTTTACCGATTTTGTTTATACTATTACTTAAAGTTTGAAACAACTATTACATTTTTGTTTTTTAATCTCAAAACACCAATATCAAGCTGGTTAAGTTTCATCATAATAACACACATGTTTAGTACCTGTTCGGTATATCAAGCTGGTCGTCTGCAACTCATAACTATATTTTCCAAATTTAATTCTAAATTATATGACGCGATAGCAAAACTACAATAACCACTAAGATACAAACACGGTCTTCATAAATAAGATTGCATGTTTTTTTTTTTTGAACACTTAATTTTCTTAAGTGCTATTATGTTCGCTCGCTCGTTTTTATATATTCATAATAATATATTTATGCGTTAAAATACTAGCTCTTAAATGTTTGAAATATTATTTTAAGTTTGGTGAATATAACCGTTGATAAATGATGATGATTAACTGATAATTAAAGAAGTCAGACAAAAAAAAAATGAGGGGAACAAAATTTTGACCTGACTGACATAAGGTGCGTGTGGTTATCAGAGACTGCGTAGGAAGAATCAGCCTCGTCTATAATAAAAAAAAAAAACTTTTTTTTTTGTATTTTTGCATCTTCAATAGCATCATCGACTGACGTAATCATGATAATAAGTATACACGACAAAATGCCTCCACCAAACGTAACCGTTTTCGTCCAAAGTTATTATACTAATCATCTGAAGTAATATTTAGTACTTAAGAATTAGCAATTAGCCAATTATGATTCTAGTTATTTGGAGACTACCTTTCATTATCTATCATCTGCATCTAGTTGAGTTAATGATTTTTGGTTGAATTTGAATCGAGATTGGTTTCTAGGTTTTGGTTACCTTAAAATGTTTGTCTTTATAATGAAGTAAAGTTAAACAACATTGAGTGAGAAAGTGGCCAACTAATTCTCTCTGTACCATCAATCTCAAATTTAAATAAAATTTTGATTTGATTAATCCAAAAGGTAGTCAGAGAAAAAAAGAAAAAGGTTTTAAATTTCTTTCATACCAGCTAGCCGAATCAAAGTTGCAGACTTTTTCTACATATTCAAAGTAGTTTAACCCTCAAAAACCAATATTCAGAAGAAGAAAAAAAAGAAAAAATGTTAGAAAGGCAATAAGAAGAAGAAGAAGAAGAAAGAAAGAAAATAGATTAATAGACAAGAGTCTCTGTTCTCTGGTTGCTTCTTTTTAGTTCTTTCTCTGGAACAGCTTTTCGCTGTTACTTTACTTCTTTGAGAAAACCCATAATCAAAGGTAAGTGTCTCATATTTGCTTGTGATTATCCTAATGATGTTTCTTTGGGGTTTCTGTTGGTTTGCCTGATCTATGTCCTGTCTAAGTGTAAGAGTTGTTTTGTCCGGAGCAATTTTTCTCGGTACTGTATAATCATGGGAATAGTAATAAATTAATAATATCTTTGTATAAGTAACTTATCCAATCAATTTATGTGATTTAATCAGTTCACCTAATTTGGTCTAGAAAGATAGAGTTCGATTTAAGTTTTCTCAAATGTTTTACAAAAAAAAAACTTTCCTTTTTCATGAAAGCTCAACAACTTCAAATCTTTGTTTTCTGGCAGTTTCCTCTTGTCTTGATTGTTTCTTTGGAAATTGTTCTTCCTCGGAAAAAAAAACAGAACAATCATGCTAATTCGCGCCGTATTCTCAAATCGTAGCCATCAGTAAGCAATACTTAATTACTATGGAAACAAATTCAAGAAAAGCTTTGAAATGTTTATGTTCTGTTTCTTGTTGTTATTAACAGTTAAAAGGAAAGTAATGTTCGAAAAATGGGGAAGAAAGGAAGTTGGTTTTCTGCAATCAAAAGGGTTTTCACACCACATTCCAAGGAGAAGCAGCTAAACAAGAACGTAAGAAAGTTTAAAATACATAAAACATTTTGATTTCATAAACTGAAATGATGTATTGATGATTGAAGTGTGTATGCTTTTGATTTTATCTTTTGAAAAGCAAGAACCGGAGAGTAAGAGTAACAAAGAAAAGAAGAAGAAAGGTTTAGGAAAGAAGTTAAGAAATGGAGAAACCAATTCATTTCTTCCAATCTTCAGACAACCTAGTAGCATCGAAAAGATCTTGTGTGAAGCAGAACGAGAGCATAACCTTGTCTTTAGGCCACCAACTCCCACGGATCATCGAGCAAAGGGATCATCAACCTATGTTCCTTCTCCTCCTATAAGGCCTGCTTCTCCAAGAGTGTCTTCTCAGAGACATGTCTCTTCTCCAAGACCAATTTCCCCAAGAGTTGCTTCCCCTCGAGCCCCTTCTCCAAAGCCTCCTTCTCCAAGAGCGGCTTCCCCTAGGGTTGTGCAGCGACGCGAGTTTGTGCATAGACCAGAGCCAACACTACTGGTCAAAAAAGCTTCTGCGATAAAGATTCAAGCAGCTTTTAGAGGTTACATGGTAATAATATTAAAACATTCTAAAATCATTCTTGATTAACAAGTAAGCATCCATTAATTTTAGGAGATGGAAAAACAATTGTAGGCAAGGAGGAGTTTCAGAGCTTTGAAAGGTCTTGTTAGGCTTCAAGGAGTGGTGAGAGGATACAGCGTGAAGCGTCAGACCATGAATGCTATGAAGTATATGCAGCTTTTGGTCCGTGTTCAAACACAAGTCCAGTCACGTCGCATCCAAATGCTTGAAAACCGAGCAAAGAGCGAGAAAGATGACACAAAATTAGCCTCTAGCCTTGCGGTAAGTGGTCTTCATGATACATTGGTTTCCAAGACAAAGAGCTCTCTCATTATAAAAACCCTTGCAGAGTGGGGATTGGGACGATAGCGTGCTGACAAAGGAAGAAAAAGAAGCGAGGCTCCATAGGAAGATTGATGCGATGATCAAAAGAGAACGTTCCATGGCCTATGCATATTCTCACCAGGTATAGTAAACTCATCTCTCCTTCTTCTTACTCACCGTATCAATGCCCATGACATCGCTCTCTCTCTCCCTTGGACTCTGTTTGTTTGTTTTCTACTCAGTTGTGGAAAAACAGTCCAAGGTCTGGTCAGGACATTCGACCAAATGGGTTCCCACTTTGGTGGAATTGGGTTGACCGGCAGAAGAGCCAAACCCAACCTTTCAGGCTAACACCGACACGACCGAGTCCAAGCCCTCAACCTCAAGCTAGCAACCAAAACCATTTCAGCCTCAACAACAGCTTCGACGCTTCCACACCCAATTCATCAAGATCCGCATTCCACACTCCCTCTAGACCCATTCATACTCCACAACCACACAGTAACGTCTCAAGATACACAAGAGGAGGAAGAGCCACACAAGATTCTCCTTTTAAAGATGATGATAGCCTCACAAGCTGCCCTCCGTTCTCAGCTCCAAGCTACATGGCTCCAACAGTCTCAGCTAAAGCTAAACTGAGAGCAAACAGCAACCCAAAGGATAGGGTGGACCGTTCACCGGTCACAACCAACAACGACAAGAGACGGATTTCGTTCCCTCTTGGTTCGTTCAAATGGAACAAAGGGTCATTGTTCATGAGCAGCAACAACAAAAAGGGTCCAGGGTCATCTTCTTCTTCTGGCCTTGTGGTGCTTGAGAAGCACAAGACACTCAAATCCGTAGGAAATTTGAGTATTGATTCCACTGTCTCGATGCCTGCAGCTGTTGGGAGGAGGTCTTTTAACAGATTTGCGTGATTCAGTTGAAACTTTTTCTTCTTTATTTTTTTTCTTTATCAGTTGATTTGATTCTTCTTTGATTTGTTTATCTTCTTTCAACTTCAGTTTTATGAGTGGTGAGTGCTGTTTTGTGATCTGTAACTACGAATTTACAGATGTAACATAATAAAAAGTAAACAACAATAGCAGAGGATTTGGATTGTACAGTGTGATGTGTTCTTTTCTAGTATTTCCAACGATTTAGACTTTTGATGCGTAATGTTATAGGGTTATCATTTACTTGAAGGTCAATCCATGAAAAAAAAACTTATTTATAGTATATGTTCTGGTCAAAGCTTTTGTTGTTGAAATCGATTTGTTCATTCTTTCACACTACTTAATCCGCAAAGGATTAAAGATCTCAAATAATAATATCCCTTCGTGTTGCAAACTTTGACCAATATTCCTCTTCATGCCCTAAAAGTCAAACCTGTTGACTTTTTAGATATTTCTTCTTTAACACTCAAGATATGACGATATCATCAGAAGATCAAAATCTTTTCCACAAACCAAAACAAAAAAAAAACCAATCAAGAAATGTCCCGTGAACTTATTCTCTTTGAAGCAATTCTTGTTCTGTTCCTTACTCTGTTTCACAATTCCCATGGCTACTTCGTCTCAGAAGGATCTGTAGGAATTGGCTTCAACGGTTACTTCACCTTGACCAACACAACGAAACACACATACGGTCAAGCTTTCGACAACGAAGCATTTCGAATCACCAACTCCTCCACAAATCTCACATCATCTTTCTCAGTCAACTTCTTCTTCGCAATCGTCCCTGAGCATAACCACCAAGGCTCACACGGTATGGCTTTCGTTCTCTCTCCCACAAGAGGCTTTCCCGGAGCTTCCTCCGATCAGTACCTCGGGATATTCAACGAAACAACCAACGGTAAAGCCTCCAATAACGTAATAGCTATCGAGTTAGATATACATAAAGACGAAGAGTTTGGTGATATTGATGATAATCATGTCGGGATTAACATTAATGGTATGAGATCTGTTGTCTCTGCTTCTGCTGGTTACTATGATGATAAAGATGGAAACTTTAAGAATCTTTCTCTCATTAGTAGAAAAGTAATGCGACTCTCTATAGTTTATAGTCAACCCGATAAACAGCTCAATGTTACTCTGTTCCCTGCTAATATCTCTGTTCCGCCTAGAAAACCTCTTTTGTCATTAAACCGAGATCTCTCTCCTTATTTGCTTGAGAAAACGTATCTTGGATTCACTGCATCGACAGGATCCGTTGGAGCAATTCATTACATGATGAGTTGGTTTATTAATGGAGAAGTCGAGTATCCGAGATTGGAGTTTGGTGGGTTACCAATCCTTCCTCCATATCCAAAGAAGTCTTCTAACAGAACAAGAACCATTTTAGCTGTCTGCTTATCGGTTTCCGTGATCGCTGCGTTTGTGGCCTCGTGGATCGGTTTCGTCTTCTATCTGAGGCATAAGAAGGTCAAAGAGGTTCTCGAGGAATGGGAGATTCTATATGGACCTCACAGGTTTGCTTATAAGGAGCTTTTCAATGCAACGAAGGGTTTTAAGGAGAAACAGCTTCTTGGAAGAGGAGGTTTTGGTCAAGTCTATAGAGGAACACTTCCGGGTTCTGATGCAGAGATCGCTGTGAAACGGACATCTCATGATTCAAGACAGGGGATGAGCGAGTTTCTTGCCGAGATATCGACCATTGGTCGTCTTAGACATCCAAATCTAGTCAGGCTTTTGGGATACTGTAGACATAAAGAGGATCTCTACTTGGTTTATGACTTTATGCCTAACGGAAGCCTTGACAAGTATCTAAACCGTAACAATGAGATTCAAGAACGGCTTACTTGGGAGCAACGTTTCAAGATCATCAAGGATGTTGCGTCTGCTCTGCTATACTTGCATCAAGAATGGGTACAAGTCATCATTCATCGAGATATCAAACCGGCTAATGTTCTAATAGATCACGAAATGAATGCGAGGCTCGGTGATTTCGGACTGGCGAAGCTGTATGATCAGGGATTCGATCCTCAGACATCGAAAGTAGCGGGAACGTTCGGGTATATCGCACCAGAGTTTCTAAGAACAGGAAGAGCAACAACGAGCACTGATGTTTACGCCTTTGGGTTGGTTATGCTTGAAGTAGTCTGCGGTAGAAGGCTGATTGAGCGACGTGCAGCGGAGAACGAAGAAGTTCTTGTGGACTGGATACTAGAGTTATGGGAAAAAGGAGAAGACATTCTTGTTGCGGTTGAAGAAAGCATCCGTGGAGAAGACAACAGGGGACAACTTGAGCTTGTTTTGAAACTGGGTGTGTTGTGTTCTCATCAAGCTGCATCGATTAGACCAGCAATGGGTGCGGTAATGCGGATCTTGAACGGCGTGACGCAGCTTCCGGATAATCTTCTTGATCTCGTAAGGGCTGAGAAATTGAGAGAATGGTCTGAGTCATCACTGGAACTAGTACTTGAAATGAATTCATTGGGTACGTTGACCTTCACGGACTCTTTAGTCTCACACGGACGCTGAACCGCGAGACATACGGTGGTGGATAATTCATATGTCATTGTTGATTCTTTGATCAAATGTTATTGATTAAGTACATATAACTGTCTAGAATTCTTGGTCCATGACTATAGCTTATATGTTCATCCCAATAGATATGGTACTTAATTCAACATCCCATTACAGTTTTCACGGCACGATACATTCCATTCAAGCTTGACATTAGTGTTCAGTAGTATTCTCATGATGTTTACAGTTTCAAGATTCAAAGCCTTAAGATCCTGGGTAAACAACCGATTAATTTATATATCTCTCTTATGAATTCCCACATCCGAGTATCTTAAAAGTACCAAAATTCTGAAAAACTGTTATTTCAAAACTTAAAACGATAGGCCTAGATGTTAAAAGACATCATCTTTTAAACGCAGAAGATTCAGAGACTTTGAAAACGAATGAGGAAAGTAGAAAAAGCGTCGGGAGAGAAGGAAAAACAAAAATAGTTTGGAAATGAATGTAGCGACTTGTTCGAGGCCACGATCAATATTAGATAAATTGATAGGCACGGAGAATCGCTTTTTGTTATTGCCAACCTTCAAGGCAACTCACGCCATTTTAAATCTGACGCCATTGCTCTGCAAATTGGCTTTTCTTAAAACAGACCTCAGCACCCCCAACAACAACAAAAAAAATTCGAGAACTCAACAAAAACCATGGTGGAAACCCTAACAAATCTAAAAGATAACGAAGAAGCTATGAATTGAAATCGAAACTTGCAGATGATTCTTAGAGTCGACTCCTTGACTGGTTTATATAGGAGAAAGGAAGGTGAAGAAGAAGAAGCCCTAATTTATATTGTTCTTTATAAAAGCAACGAACTAGGCCCATCTCAAGTTCTTTTAGTGGCCCAAATGTCCTGATTTCGATTACTAATGGGCCTAGGTACTAAATCAAGCTGAGTATGAAGAAGAAGAAGCCCTAATTGATATTGTTCTTTATAAAAGCAACGAAATAGGCCCATCTCAAGTTCTTCAAGTGGCCCAAATGTCTTGATTTCGATTACTAATGAGCCTAGGTACTAAATCAAGCTGAGTATGAAGAAGAAGAAGCCCTAATTTATATTGTTCTTTATAAAAGCAGCGAAACAGGCCCATCTCAAGTTCTTTTAGTGGCCCAAATGTCCTGATTTCGATTACTAATGGGCCTAGGTACTAAATCAAGCTGAGTATGAAGAAGAAGCCCTAATTTATATTGCTCTTTATCAAAGCAACGAAATAGGCCCATCTCAAGTTCTTCAAGTGGCCCAAATGTCCTGATTTCCATTACTAATGGGCCTGGGTACTAAATCAAGCTGAGTATGTGATTTATCGAGCTGAATATTTGTTTTTGATGTTAACTTGGTCAAGATCATTTTATAATTTTATTGCCCAATATTCAAACTATTTTCCCTATTGCTAGTGAAAAGATGAAATCGTCTTTTAAGTGAAAAAAACTGAAATCACTATGAGGTTATTTTACCCTTTAATGGGTTTAATGTCAATAAACTCAAAACCAAATCAATCAAGGCATTATCATTTCATATACATTCGATTTTACTCATGTACATGCAAACCGAACCAAACTCTCTTACAAACCAATTTAACCACACTTTTCAAATTAGAACGTCATAATTTATATGACATAAACATAAAATATATTAATTTTTATTTTGCTCCAGTAACCGAAATAGTGTATAAACAACAATAGTGATCTAATAATTATGCTTGTAGGAGTGTATAAAAAATTTAAAAAAAAAAAAAAAAAATCACAACCTGGACATAATCTTCTCGGGGTCTAAACATATATAAAATTTGCCCGAGGGCAGCTTTTCCGGAGGAAGCAACACCAACTTCGCGACGGTGGCAGCAGCATCATCCGCCGTGTGAGTCCCCTGGCCACCGGTCATAGACGTACGAGTGAAACCAGGGCATAAACAATTCACACTTAGTTTTTTGCCGTTGTAACGTCGAGCCAAAACCCTAGAGTAAGCGTTTAAGGCCATCTTAGAGACGGCGTAGTCCGACCAATTTTCCGGCCAACCTTGCTTCTGCCACTTCCCGCTCTTCACGTCCTCCAGAAATTGAGCTACCGTCGCCTCGATTTGTTCATTGGTAAGGTCTTCATTTTCTAGGGTTTGCCTTATACTAGGGCTTCCCAATTTCTGTGTGCAAGAAACACATCGAAATGAGTCAAAGGTTAGACTATATACTGTATATATCTGGATTTTAAATGAGTAATACATGTTGGCAAAACAATTTGAGCAATACATAACTTATGGGTTCTTTTATTTCCTATAAAAGTTTGTTAGTATTGTTCTTTATTTTATTTCTATAAACTATGTTCAATATCAAAAATACAAAGTAAAAAAAAAAAAGATGAATTCTACTAAACATTTTATATATATACATTCTCTTAGTGGATAAAAGAGTATGTTTAGCCGTTTAGGCACCTATTATTGGAATTTTTGAAAGTCGAGTAAGAAAAGAAACTCGATTAGATGGTAAATAAAAAGGTATTTTGATATTCTTCGATTTCTGCAATTTTCTAATATGCAAAGATAATACACTAGGAGAAATTTGTTACGTACGTTTAAAGCGCCAAGCCTTGAACTAATGTTAAGGATGCGGCTAACGGAGACCGAACGGCGAAATAGCGGCAAAAGTGCCTCCGTTAAAAGCTTGGCACCGTAAAAGTTGGTCTTAATGATGGTCTCTGGATGTTTGATGAAATTCTCGCCGACGGCGTTGAATGAAACGGCGGCGTTATTCACCTAAGCAAATCGACGAGGTCGTGTTAGTGTGTCAAAACTAAAAAAACAACTTAAATTGTAAATAAAAAAACAAGGAATTACATATGGAAAAAGAATATAATGTACTGCTGATATAATCAGAAAATCTAACGTGATAGGCAAGTTAAACCATCGAAAAAGTCTAAGAAATGCTCTGTACCTCTCATGTGGGGGGATGAATGATTATTAAAAGTTGTAATTAGTAATTACCAAAATGTCGAGTACACCGAAGTTGAGACGGAACCAGGAGACGAAGGCGGCGATGGAAGAATGATCGGAGATGTCGAGGCAACAAAAATGAACGTTCCGAAAGCCAGCGCCGCGGAGGGAATCGGCGGCGAGGCTTCCATTTTCAACGTTTCTGGCGGTTAAGATGACGGTTAGTCCAAGCTCCAATAACCTCTTCACCACCGCAAACCCTATACCTTTGTTTGCTCCGGTCACAACCGCCGTTGTTTCCTCTGACCACCATCTATAATCACAATCACAATAATCGAACCAACTTAAATTTTGATTATGAAATAGGACGTTAAGTTTATATACACGCAAATTTATAGAGATCTGGCTAGGTACCTATTCGAAGTTGTTGTTGGAGAAAGAGGAAGGATAAGATGATCCATTTTTATTATTTCTTAAAAACAATATGATCTTGATGCTTGGTGAGGTGATTATACATAATTATATAATCCAATGATCAGGGCTATATAAATAGACCTGGATCTGAGCACATGCTTGTTGATATTATACATGCATAACATATGGTTGTGCCTGTATGTGACGGACATGACGGTGGCAGAAAATAATAGGAATTAAAATATGTGTTTATAATAAAATATCCAAGAACTCGTGAATATAATGTTAACTTTTTTAAAATATATATGAAACTGTAAAGTCCATGGGTTTCAAGTGTCCACACCTTATAGGTTTTGAGTATTTGACTTACTTAATTTTCTTGTCCACATCAAACGTTTCAGATGGCAAAGAACTATGTTTTTCTTAATAAGTTTTTGATGTCATTTAATCGTACGTGTGTGATGTTAAAAGTTTTGGCGAACTGAGTATACAGTGCTAATTCAAAAAGTTAAGAGGTTGTATCAGGAAATCAGAGGTTAATATACAACAATGTTAGACGATTACACTTCGATTTTTTCGTTATACCAAATTAACGGATGAAAACAAAATTATACTAAACAGAAAATATTGCATTATGTAGAAGTCTCTGCATCAGCTCAGAATAAGTTCATCAAAAAAACTAAGAGATGCACTGTTCTTCTCATACTAAGCTAGAGTTTGGCAAATGGTAAATCTCTTCTTGTTCTCTATTTTGGTTGAAACTTGTTTAAACTGAAGCTATCTCCCATTCTCTTAGCTAGTGTGTGCTTCATGCATATGCTTCATATTTTCTCTAAACTCTTGTAGTTATGAAACAGTATGAGCCAAATGTTATATAGCCTTATAACTGTCGTTTGTTTAATGTTGAATACCTTTTACACAAAAATAAATAAATCATTTTAGATTGTATCCGATGCATGCACGAATCCTAAACTAAAAATTGTACCCTTTTGTATATCACAAAACTCTATTCACTCTCTTATATAAACACGTAACATATATTCTACATTTAGTTAACAACGCACCTTTATAAGAATACTTTTTTACCTTGAAAACATGTTTTGTGCCCATGATCAGGTACCATCAAATGTAGATGATATCCGAATGAAATATGTATAATATGTTACATTGGTTGATATGGGTGTCATTGTAGTGTTCTAGAGGGGTGGGGGGAATCTTAGAGGAGTAAACTATTGACTAATAGTTTAATTTATTGTTTAATGCTTTACATGCTTCAATTATAAACCCCACTTTAGAATTTAAGCATGTATAAAACTAAATATTTTTGTAAACAACTACTTGATTATAAAAATCATCACATCTTGATAGGCTGCTTTTCAAAGTAATAGAATTAGCCCATGGATTCAAAGTTCTTTCTTTATGAATTGAGACAGAGAGTTAGTGAGATGTAGGCATGTGCTTGCTTCATCATTGAATTTTTCAATTCGTAAAGTTCAGTTTATCAAGTAATATGTCAGCTTTGCCGCCACTTTTGGTGGACTCTAATTATTGGATTTTTCAATTGCGCCATTTGTTTTTGTCGTAATTCTGTTCTGATACTCTCGTAATATTAAAAGTTCCTTTTCCGTAATTTTAATTAGGATTTTTGGGTAGCAAAAATCTCTAAGCAAATCTAGGTATATTTTAGTCTTTATATTTTTAAGTTTTTAAATTGAACACATACTGTAGAAAAAATCGTTTTGACAGTATTCAAAAATGCATAGTAATTACTAATTACAAAACAATTTACAGTATTAAAGTTTAACTACAAAACAGTACTTTATTATATATTTCTCCACAAATCAACAGTGTAGTAAACATAGACTAGAATAAAATATTGATGATATACATTATTTTAATTAGTTGAAGTTTTAAATTGTGTTTCACTAAATTTTCTTTTTGATTTGACATAATAAATTTTCTTTTATACTTTCCAAATATTTGTCCCGCCTGTCTATTTTTGAGAGAGAAACATGCGAATATTACAACGTAACAAACAATACTTAAAAAGTGTGTACCGGATTTTGTTTTTTACTACCATCAAGTGTTTCTAATTATTTTGAGAGTTTTTGTATAACACATATATAGACTATTGAATCATTGATGGATGTCCAAAATAGAAATGTTTTGGATTATGTTGAGAGTTTATATATATATATATATATAGACTGTTGATAAATGTCCAGTATTAATGTATTATTGAAGTGTTTTGGACTATTTTGAGAACTTTTGAATAGTACATAGACTTATTGATGGATGTTCAAAATAGAACTCAAACTTTCACTATTTGCCTTATAGATCACACTACAAAAACCAATGGTGTATATATGAAAAGAGACTTGAAGAAGCAAGACCAAGTAGCTTTTTTTGTTCATGCCTCGGGCTGCATTTTCTCTACCTCTTCTCGGATCCAATGGAACAGAGGATCATCTTTTAATTTGAACCATATTGTTTTTAATAAACCAAAGTTGTCAAAGCTTCAAGGGGTTGGTGAATGGTGAGCCATAGGGATGAGCTCATGAGGGAGTCGTCCAAGTCATTATAAAACCCTATTGTCTCTTCTGATCTATAAATGATTACAAAAGTAATATACAAACAGCAAGATTCCATGATTTTTCACATTGTGTTATAGATATGTATAGATATATAACTCAACAACACCTTTCACGATTTACACTCTATGGTCAGAGGTTTAGGTAGAAGAGTTTGGTGAGGAGACATTATGAATATTATTCATAGATAGAAAGAATCTTTCGGGTTTAAAGACAAAAACTAATCCCAACAACTGAAAACACAAAACGAAGAAAAAAGTAGGCCGAATAAGCGTAGTCCAAATTCGAAATGGGCCTTCATTAACCAAACCAAACCTAGAAAACAAAAACAAAGAAAAGTGGGCCAAATAAGCCCATTTCAGATTTTACTAGAGCCTTCGTAAACGAAACCAAACCCCTTGAATGTTCTTTGTACTTACGTAGAAACTACTACTGAGGGGATTTGCGTGGTTAACACATTTTACGAAGCAAAAGAACTGAATCTCTACAAAGATTGAGTTCAAATGTCCATCAAAACCAACTTCTTTTCAGGTTTCAACGTCCATGGGAGATGAAAGAATGTGTAAACGTCAATCTACTCATTGAATTCATATCAAGTAGTACTTCCATTGATATTTCAGGCCGTCCTCTCAATCTCTCATCCGTCACCACATCAAGAAGATTATCAGGAAGCTGCGAAACGCCATTCAACATCCGCATAACCGCACTCATATCCGGTCTAATCGTTTCAGCTTGATGCGAACACAACACACCAAGCTTCAAAACAAGCTCGATCTCTCCCCTGTGTTGTTCTTGACGTATGCTTTCCTCAGCCGCATCGAAAATTTTCCCATTTTCCCATAACTCTAGTATCCAGTCCACAAGAAATTCTTCGTTCTCCGCTGCACGTCGCTCAATCAGCCTTCTACCGCAGACTACTTCAAGCATAACCAACCCAAAGGCGTAAACATCAGTGCTCGTAGTTGCTCTTCCTGTCCTTAGAAACTCTGGTGCGATATACCCGAACGTTCCCGCTACTTTACTTGTCTGAGGATCAATCCCCTGATCATACAGCTTCGCCAATCCGAAATCACCGAGCCTCGCATTCATCTCGTGATCTATTAGAACATTAGCTGGTTTGATATCTCGATGGATGATGACTTGAACCCATTCTTGATGCAGATATAGCAGAGCAGACGCAACATCTTTGATGATCTTGAAACGTTGCTCCCAAGTTAGCCGTTCTTGATTAGTGTTGCCACGGCTTAGATATTTGTCTAGGCTTCCGTTGGGCATGAAGTCATAAACCAAGAAGAGTTCCTCTTTATGTCTACAATATCCCAAAAGCCTGACTATATTCGGATGCCGAAGACGACCAATGGTGGAGATCTCGGCTAGAAACTCGGTCTTTCCTTGTCTTGAACCATGAGAAGTCCGTTTCACAGCGATCTCTGCATCAGAACCAGGAAGCGTTCCTCTGTAGACTTGACCAAAGCCTCCATTTCCAAGAAGCTGTTTCTCCTTGAAACCCTTCGTTGCATTGAAAAGCTCCTTATAAGCAAACCTGTGAGGTCCATACTGAATCTCCCATTCCTCAAGAACCTCTTTAACCTTCTTATGCCTCAGATAGAAGACGGAACCGATCCACGAGGCCACAAACGCAGCGATCACCGATAGCGTTAAGCAGACCACCAAAACCGTCCTTGCTGTATGAGATGGTTTCTTGGGATACGGAGGCAGGACAGGGATTGCGTTAAGATCCCATAGTGGATTCTCGGGGTTGTCGGTACTGAACACGGCCAACATATAGTGAAGTGCTCCTGTGGATCCAGTAGATGCCGTGAAGCCATAGTACATATCCTCCAAAAGCAACGAGGAGAGATCTCGGTTTAAAGACAAGAGCGGTTTCAGCGGCGGAACAGAGAACTCAGCAGGGCATAAGGTGACGTTGAGCTGTTTATCTACTAGGCTATAAACGATCGAAATCCGCAACACCTTTCCGCTGATCAAAGAAAGATTCTTAAAGCTTCCGTCTTTATCATCATAGTAACCAGCAGGAGCAGAGAGAACAGACCTCAAGCCATTGATGTTGATCCCGACATGATTATCATCAATGTCGCCAAACTCTTGGTCTTTGTGTATATCTAACTCGATAGCTATCAGGTTGTTCGAGGCATTACCGTTGTTTGTCTCGTTGAATAGCCCGAGGTACTGACCGGAGGAAGCTCCGGGAAGGTGTCTCGTAGGAGAGAGAACGAAAGCCATACCGTGTGAGGCAGAGTGGTTATGCTCAGGGACGATTCCGAAGAGGAAGTCGATGCTGAAATTCACGTCCTTCATGTAAAAGGGTTCGTGGTTCACAAGTTGGCCGTAGGAATGCTTCGTGGTGTTGGTCAAAATGGCGAAACCGCTCGAGTCGAAAACTGCAGCTCCCTTCGGGATCAGTTTGCCATTGGAGTAGGTTGTAGATAAAGACAGAGTAACCAACAGAACAAGAATTATCTGCAATACTTTGAGTTCACGAGACATGTTCCGATTTTGTTTTGTATTGTTTGTTTTTGTTGTTGCTTATAGGAACGACTTTGATTTCGTAAGAGTTTAAGTAAGAACATTAAGGAGTGCCAAACTAATGGGAACGAACGTTCTTGTGTTATTCCTTTGCTATAATTTAAAAACATGTGTATTAACACACATGGCCTAAATCAGCTTATTATATGAAAAGCAATTATAGTGGGATTACTAGAGCGTGTCCCTCCTAATCCTTATATAAACCAGTGACTTTCTTGGCATAAGAATAATTGTGGGTCAAAAATTGAAAAAGATAAGTTTTTTTCTATGTTTTTAAACCTTTAAGGATTAAACAATAGCAACAGCGTGAAAAAAGGATTAAAAAGAAAGCAACAATCAAACAAAGCTTTTCTTTCTCACAAACAAAGTTTCCTAGAACATTACATGGCAGAGAAAAAAGAAAAAAAGCAGAGTAAGTTTTATACCAAAGTTTTAAGCATGTTTTTTTTCTGAGAAATTTTCTACTAGTCTAAAGGAAGAAGTGAAGATATATGTCCTATATAGTGTAACATATTTTAAATCGTTTTGTAAAACATTTTACATCAAAGTCTACACATTTTTTGGTTTATGAAAAATATAGAGGGATAAGACCAAGCTGCACTTGTTCATACGTCAGGCTGCAACAGATATCGCTCTGGAGCGACCAGTGGTCGATATCTCAGCTTGAAACTCGCTCAAACCCTTGACTTGAACCATTGGAAGTGAGTTCCACAGCGATCTCTGCATCAGAAACCGGAAGCATTCCTTTATAGACTTGACCAAAACCTCCTCTTCCAAGAAGCTGTTTCTCCATGAAACCCTTTGTAGCATTGAAAATCTCTGTACGAGGTCCATACTGAATCCCCCATTCCTCAAGAACCTCGATCCACGAGGCGATAAATGCAGCGATAACGGCCAACGTTAAGAAGACTGCTAAAACCGTCCTTGTTCTAACAGACACCTTATCCGGGTATGGAGGGAGGATGGGGATCACGCTTATATCAAGAGCTGTATGCTCGGCTTCTAGAGAAGTGAACAGATTCAGCATATAATGGATTGCTCCAGTCGATCCGGTCGATGCCGTGAAGCCATAATACATCTCGTCCAAAAAATAGGGCGAGAGATCTCGGTTTAAAGACAAAAGCGGTTGTTGCAGCGGCGGAACAGAGGACCCAACAGGGCTTAAGGTGACATTGAGCTGTTTATCCGGTTGGCTATAAACGATCGTAAGCCGCATTACCTTTCCGCTGACTAAAGAAAGATTCTTAAAGCTTCCATCTTCATCATCATAGTAACCAGCAGGAGCAGAGAGAACAGACCTCAAGCCATTGATGTTAATCCCAACATGATTATCATCAATGTCTCCAAACTCTTGGTCTTTATGTATATCTAACTCGATAGCTATCAGGTTATTCGAGGACTTACCGTTGTTTGTCTCGTTGAACAACCCGAGGTATTGATTGGAGGAAGCTCCAGGTAGGCCTCTTGTGGGAGAGATAACGAAAGCCATACCGTGTGAGCCTTGCTGGTTAAGCTCAGGGACGATTCCGAAGAGGAAGTCGAAGCAGAAAGACGAGTTCTTGATGACAACGGCTTCATGGCTGAAAGCTTGGCCGTAAGAATGCTTCGTGGTGTTCGTTAACATGGAGAAACCGCTGGACTCAAAAGCTGCAGATCCCGCCAGGATCAATTTACCATTGGAGTTGCAGCTTAATGAAGACAGAGTAAAGAACAGAACAACAATGATCTGCAAGACTTTGCGTTCAAGAGACATGTTCCGATTTTGTTTTGTTTCGTTCTTCTTCTACTTTTCTTATGGGGAGATTTTGATGTTAATATGATACTTATACTTATCATATCATAACAAAATAAGGGTCGAGAGATAGCGGGAACAAACGTCCTCGTGTTATTCATAAAAAAGACACATGCCCTAAATCAAGTCGTAAAGCAATTGAAAAACAATCTTCTATAATCCTTACGCAATTATAGCGGGATTGGTAAACCGTGTTAAATCCTATTAGACCAATGATTTCCTTGGGATAAGAAAAATTGTGGGTCAAAATTGCAAAAAGACAGCATACTTTTATGATCTTTAAACCTTTTGAGGATTAAACAATAACTACAGAGTGAAAACACAGTTTCAAAGTATGTAGTAGATTCTGTGATGTTTCATATTTAAAAACACAGTCTCACAACACTTTTGACCATAAAATATACTACTAAAAACCAAAGTTTTTGGTATGTTTTAAAGAGACTGATAAATTTTCTATTCGTCTGAAGGAAAAAGTGAAGGTATATATGTCCCTAATTTGTCATGGATCATTTTATAATCTTATAGTTTACAACGTTTCGTAGAACATTACACATCACTGTCTACAGTTTATTGTTAAACAATAAAACTTGCACAATTTGGCTTATTGATAAACAGGAATTATAGCTCAGCACTCACGATACAAAACTAATAGTAGAAGAAAGAGATGTGCACAAGTAAGACCATTGCTCATACCTCAGGCTGCATTTTCTCGACCTCTTCTCGGATCGACTGGAACAGAGGGGTCGATAGATATCGCTCCCCAAAGCTCGGGAAAACAACCTGAAAACCGAATACACAGATTCATTCACATGTCACGATTTAATCTCCTAACTGGCTTCATAGATGACACAGAAGATGAAAAAAGCTAGCTAAGTGGCTTAAGCATTGGATCACACACCCGAGAGACTTTTTACAATCCTAAAAATCCATCTTGTGAAGTTCTTTTTAAAAATCAATCCAGAGGTTTCGATGCACGCACAGCTCTGTTTTTTGGTTTCCCAACACATAACAAATAAAAGAAACAGGAAGGACTTACAGCAATGAGTTTCCCTGCATTCTCAGGTCTCTTGGCGACCCTCATTGCAGCAGCAGCAGCAGCTCCAGATGATATGCCAACCTGAAAAAATCATTTCCGTCACATGACAAATCTTGTGTGGTTTCCTTCTTTCACTCCCACTCAGAAACTAGAAATGATATAAAAGACTAACCATCAAGCCTTCCCGAAGAGCTAATTGCTTTGCGGTTTCTATAGCTTCCTCACTTGAAATCTGGTAAAAGATGATAGCAATTAAAATGCCGATAAGAATAACTGGTGATGTTTGAATCTCAGGGATTTGGAACATATAAGCAATACATTGACGGTAAAAGAAATAGTCTTGTGGAAACCAGATAGTTGTAGGAACTATGCAGAATCCAACAATAACAGATCATACCGCGATGACTTCATCCATAATTGCCTGATCCAAATTCTTAGGTATAAATCCAGCACCAATTCCTTGAATCTTGTGAGGTCCTGTACTCAAATACAAGTAATGATAATACATAAGTATTAAATCATAATTAAGTACATAAGTATTACTGATTGTATAGTCTGTGAGTCTTACCCGGTTTACCACCAGAAAGAATGTCGCTTTCGGTGGGTTCCACACCAATAACCTGGTGCATGCAAGCATCAAATACTTAAACGAACACACCCTCTCTAAATATCACATTCAGGCTAAGATGAAACCTTTATTTCCCTTTTACCTGCAATTTGGGGTTTTTCTCTTTCATGAATCGACCAACACCAGTGATAGTCCCACCAGTTCCAATTCCTGCAACAAATATATCCACCTTGCCCCTTGTATCTTCCCAGATCTCAGGACCAGTAGTCTCGTAATGAATCTGCATACATATAGTTGCGGGAGAGTTTAATTTAATCATGACACAAAGGAAAAGTTAATGCAGGAGAGTTTCTGATTGTCTTTTAACTTAAAAACATTCAGTTCTCTTCTCGTATGGTACATGACTGGAGAGCTAAAACCAATCCATCGCATAAATTGTGAATATGGAAAAGAATAATACACCACAAACCTTGGGATTGGCAGGGTTATCAAACTGTTGGAGCATGTATGCATCGGGAGTTTTCTTCAAGATTTCTTCAGCCTTCTGAACCGCTCCAGTCATGCCTTTTGCAGGATCTGTTAGTACAAGCTCAGCTCCAAATGCCTTTAAAAGGACCCTTCTTTCCATACTCATGGATGATGGCATTGTCAAGATAAGTCTATACCCTCTCGAAGCAGCAATGAAAGCAAGGCCAATACCCGTGTTTCCACTTGTAGGTTCCACAAGAACACTCTAGATAAGTGCAGCAAGAACATAAAGTCAGAGAGCTGACATATTTAGGTAGGATTAACCACGGAGAATAACGGATTAAGAAGGAACAATCTATAATCGATGATACCTTTCCAGGTGTGATGAGTCCTTTTTGCTCAGCATCCGTAACCATACTGTACCCAATCCTGAAATTTTAAAAGTTCAATACTTTAGACTTGCAGGTGTGTAACTAAAACACATACTGTATGAAGAAGCCTCAAAACACTCATGCCACAAACCTATCCTTGACACTGCAACATGGCTCCATGATCTCGAGTTTGGCAGCAATGTTCGCTACACAACCCTTTGCTATACTATTCAAGTAGACCATAGGAGTTTTCCCAATGAGCTGAACCAAGTCAAGAACAGGTGAGAGAAATGTAAGTAAAGTCTGAACCTTTTGAGCTTCAAAGAGAAAAAAACTCACAAAAATGAATCGATTTATCCATTAGAGATCAATTTTGCTATACTATCTAGAGATTGCATCAATCTCAGTTCTAGGAAGAAAAACACATCTAACCTGAGACACATTCTCGGCGATTTTGAGCCCATCAGCTCCAGTCTCGCGCCTAACGGCCTCGCACACAACAGACGGATCTCGTTCCGACACATCCCCAAAACTCCGAATCTGCCTCTTCATAGCTAGAGGAAAACAGGAAGCAGCCGGACGCGCGGAGAAAGAGAGAGAAGAGATTTCCGGCGAGCATCTGAAATGACGGAGACCGGAAGACGTCAACGGGTTAAAGAGGAGAGCAGAGGAAGAAGCGGTTGCCATGGATGATGAAGCTCTCACTGTGCTGTTGCAGCTTCGCTTTCCCAAAAGTGTAGACAGGAACTGAGATGCGAGCTTAGCTTCGCGGTGAAGCCTTGCAGCCGAGAGCATCGCCATGATCGGAGGAACTTCTTTTATTTTTCTCTGGGAAAACGACGTCGATTGAATTTCCAGATACGGTCCATTTTTAGACCAAGCTTTTGGAGTTTTATAAGTTTCACGTTTGATCATGATGGGAGGAATTAAATATATCTTACTATAATTTTCTTTTTCTTTTTTGGTTCAATTGTTTTATCCAGTTTCATTTTTCTTAGCCAGCTTTAAATCTCTATAGTTAATTTTTAATTATCAAATCATGCACATTTGGCTTTTGTTAGTATCAAATCTTTTAAGTTTGCAGTTAATTTTCTTAGTCAACTTTAAATCTTTAGTAATTTAAATTTTCTTAGAAATTAAAATGTTTTTGATCACCAACCAAGTGACCACTGAACGTGGAGAATGTGTTCTTCTTATTCATCCGACCCTACTACTACGGTTGGTGTCTCTGTTCTAATTGATTTGGGGAAAGAGGGTTATAATTAAATTCTGATTAATTATGTGATTAATTTTTGTTAATGGTAGATATGATTGTCAATTTAAAAAAACGACTAGTAGATGTCTTCAACGGTTACAAAGACTGTCTTATCTTAATCCAAGTGAACACAAACACTCAAACAAAAAAAACTTTCTACAACACTCTCTATAGGCAACTTCTTCTCAGATCTCACCAAGATAAATCTGTTTATCACTACTGCAAGAACCAATGATTGGCTCTTGAGGATGGAAGACACACTCATTGACTGATCCATTGTGACCTGGGAGCTTATACAGAATCCGCCTCGACGTCGTGTCCCATATATGAACCATTCGATCCGCACTACCCGCTGTGACTTTGCTACCATCCGGTGACCACGCGCATTTCAACAAGTTCTTCTCAAAGTTGTGTTGATGCCCTTCAAAGATCTTCACACATCTGTTTTGTGGAGCGTAAGGACGCATATCCCAGACACAGAGCTTGTTGTCCATTGCATTAGTGAGCAGGTAAGACCCGTCTGGACTTAGGCTCATACCGGTTATTGTATCTTGATGGCCTTCAAGGGTCATGATCGCTTCGCCTTTCCTCAAGTCCCACACTTTAACGTCGTTGTCTACACCGCCCGTGAATATCTTATCAGCTGCATCAGAGAAACTCACTGCCGTGATTTGGTATTTATCAGGGAATGTCTGTATGGCTCCTCTCTGACGCATGTCCCAGAGCTTTGCGGTTCCATCATCAGATCCACTTACTATAAGAGGCAACCCTCGACGCGAAGGACAGCAGGAGTTCACAAATGAGGAATGCTCAGCCATTTTCTTGACCTGTTTCCCTGTTTCCACATCCCAGGCTCTAAGGGTTTTGTCAGGACTGGCCGATACGATCTGGGAGCCATCGCTTGTCCAGTGGAGATCGAGGATAGCGTTCTTGTGACCTTTCAGAACCATAAAGTTTTTGCAGTCTCCGTGAACTCTCCATAGGAAGATTTCTCTGTCGTGAGATCCAGAGGCGATCACGGTCCCAGCAGGGTTGAATTTCATGGTGTAGATCGCACTTTGGTGTCCACTTAGCAACATTATAGGCGCTTCTAAGCTCGAAGTCCGTTGCTTGCCATTGGAGGCAGGTCCTTGAGGAGCACCGTAAGGAACAGTGGACCATTCCATTGGCTCGTTCTCACTTTTGAAAATATCCATCATAGCTCTCAAGTCGAAAAGCGAACCTATATTCCCACCAGAAAGTGATTCAATATACGCAAAGCTG